GGCTTTTCAGAGCTGTCCAAATTCACAATTCATCAACTCCATCATTTCATCGGATGTTGGAATCCCTAGTCAATTTCCATAACTATATTAGAGGAAATTCAGCCAAGGTTGATTTGTCGGAAAACATTGATTTTCCTCACTTGATAGAATTTCACGTTTTGTGGATTGTTTGCTGGGAATGGTAATTATGCTAATTTAATGACACTCCCAGGGCAATGGTGTGCTCACTTTCATCCGATGAGCAGCAGTGAATAATTTGTGGTGAATCCCCGCATATGTGAGAATTTTCCGTACAAATTTATTTGATGTGCTTCCATCCAATAAATTCACTGGCATGTCAATTATGTTGCGCATTGATGCTGATTTCTTGTTCGGGAAAATTATTCAAATTATATTCTAGCTAATTCTAATTCATGGACAGTTGAAAATTATAGATTTTAACTCACTAATGTGAGTATTAATTGATTTTGAGAGACACCTAGAAGAGACGTGTCTCTCAGGTGTGAGTGTAGAGATATTTTTGAGAAGGTCTCTAATCACATTCGACCAATTTCTGAGATATTTGCAAAATATTTCTACTGCTTGACTTCTCACATTGAAATCATTGAAATGCATTAAGCACGTGAATACTGCCTTTTGATGTCTTCATTCACTTGTTATATCACACAGCCTGAAACTGCTGATGGTGTGGAGGGTATATGATTTGAGTTTCATTAAGAGCGTGGCCAGTGCTTCATGCTGTTTTACAGATTATTGAAATTCACTGTCGTGAGTCAATCTGAAAATGGCATATTGGACAGTTTTCCATATAGATTCTCGAGGAGTAATTTGCGTTGGAAAATCTTTTGACCCATGCGATTAAAGGCAATTTGTAGCAAAAGGTGATGCTCTTTCACAATTTTCCCTCTCTCGTCGGCTGTCTTTTTTCTTCTTCCTTTTCCAATCACTGGCTCTTTTGTTCAACTTCGCCCAATGTTTCTCTCCTCTTTGGCATATTCGCACGCAAAGTGCACCGTGCGCGCGTGTATATTTTCGCAAAGGCTCCCAAAGTTGGATATGATGATGATGGTGAAAATTGGCGATAAACTTTCATTTTGTCTGTTTTCTTTCTTCCACATCTCCTTTGAGGAATTGGAAATTATGGTCATCTCGTGCATTTCACATATTGGTGTATCTGGGTTTTTTCTTGCGCCCCTCAGCAAAAGTGCCTCGACGTGCACACACAAATAAAAGTTGTGGAAATAAAATAAATGATAAATTAATAATATAACTGGATTGGTAAATGGCCGTTATGGATGGGATTTTTATGTCTGCAACACACAGAGAGTGCAACGTGGAAAGTTTTGCAAGAAGTTCAACTTGGTGTACTCCCTTGCCCACCACCCTTCCCCTTTTGGCCGCTATGGACGCATTTCTGCGGACCTGTGCAATCGATTTTGCCGTTGCTGTACCGTAATATAACATTTTCTGCTGGGGAGATTTTCTGATTTCTCTTTAAAATACAACTGGCAGCGACCTAATGAATTATTGACGTGCCCGAGTTTCTTTTCGGCCGGTGCGTGTGCAAGTGTGAAGAGATTTTCACGAATTGCTGGGGCGCGCGCACTTTGTGACGCGCACACTCACTTGTCGGATTATATCTTTTCTCTATGATATCTCGCGAGTTTTGTCGTGCGAGTTCACGCACAGCAAGAGTGACCAAAAATATAAAATATGGTATTAAATTTCCATCTTATTAGAACAGAAATATAATCTCCCAATGTCAATTAGTATCATTCTCTTTCTGACCGATGCCATTTATTGTCTCCTCATGAATATCTCTTCTTCTGTCCAACCAATCCCCCCAAAAATGGGTATGACGCACTTTAGGAGAAGACCTTTCTCGCTTGACAAGATGGGGAAGTCTTAATGCCTGCGCGATTTGCTATTCTGTCTTCTTTCTCATTTTCAGACGACGAGCACCCTCAAATCCACAATCGCCCATGTCTGATCCAAACAGCACAGAAGTTATTAATCAGGTGGCCACCACACAGTCTGGATTCTTGCCGCCGAGGTTAGGACTTAGCGCCCCCAATAAGGCCTTCCTGGTCCAAGCAATCTGAGAGGGAGCATTTTAGGTTGCACGTGTGTTGAGAATTGAGATCATCTCTAGACAATTTAGTGTTTATGCATATGGTTTTTCATGTGATTATGCATATCAATGCTTCTAACATTGTTATTCAAATTATCGTTAGATATTCAAATTGACCATATAATTTACGATGAGTCTAAAAATACCTCGGAAATTGGGTTCAGATCGCAAATTATCACAATATTTGGCGTGAAAGAAGAACGGTTTGAGAAGCTGCAACTGTTTGACGTCAAGTCGAATGAAATACTCCTTCCTCTTAGATTGATTGTACCTGCGCAATTATGATAGGCAATAATTCTAACTCTGTTGGTGTGTGGGATTCGGGTAGATTCTTCGAACACCCTCTAACTGCCGCCACGTCTGCCATGCTCAATATTTCTGGGAGTGGAAATAGTGCGCCCGATGATGATGGCGCAACCGCTAGCGGTGGCAATGCCATTGCAGCAACAGTAAATCTCAATGCACTGGGAACGCCACATCAGGTGCATCAAGTGCACAATTCCAACGGTAGCACCTCCTTCGTATATGAGTATTATAAAATGTCATCGGAAAAGGATAGCTTACAGTGGAGGTAAGAGAACAACCAGCCGTATCCTCAATATCCTCTCTTTCTCCCCATTCGCCGATGGCCATACTCTTAGCAATCAAGCGTATACATCTCACTATATGATCTGTGATATTGCAATTTTGGGGTGGACTCTATTGTGCTGTCAATGGCAACAATATTTTAATTATGAAACTGTTGTCCGCATGTGTGTGTCGCCTCAATTGAGAATGAGAGATATGTCAAAATATATACGGTGTGGAAGGTGAAAGAAAAATGACTCCATTGAGAGATTAATTGTATATATTGCCTTGTAGCTGATGTTATTGGGATTAGTGTCTCAAGAGTGCAACAAGAGGGGGAACAATGCATTTTTGTTGGGATGTTAGGACCTGTATTTTGCGACAATTTCTCTCCCCTTCAATAATGTGAATTTATCACCCCCTTGTACACAACAATAGTGCTATGCAACTCCACTTTTTCTACCCTTTTCTCTTCCACTGACAAAGGTCCATGTCTTTTGATCCTTTTACCATAGTGCTTCCGACTCCCGAATGTCAATGACTTTGGGATTGTGAAATAGGAAAATTTCCCAAGAAATTCCTTTGAATGCGAGAAATGGCGTAGAAAAACTTAATCCTCTGATTTAAAATGATCTTGCATTCTCGCGAGATGAAAAAAGTAAGCATAAATCTAACTGCGAAAGCCTTCCCTTGGGACAGCGAGAGAGGGTTACAGTATAATGTCTAGGGTGAAAAGATAAATAAATTAAATTTTAATGTCAGTGTAGATTCAATTTGAGATTTGTTATTTTTTATGAGGCAAAAGTCTTTCATTCCAGCTTTATTAACTTGGGATGTTTCTTTTTTTGTTCTTTCTCATGACAAAATTCCCTCTCGAAAAGAAATCTCATTATAACATAGCATAAGTATATGTGATTCCTTATCTCTAGATCTCTCTTCTGGGCTTCTCCCTGGATGTAATTTCAATGTATGGCATAGAGGAAAATTGAGATGAAGACGAAGAAAGAATGTCTATTTTTCAAAAGGCATTGAAGAATTATTGAAATATCCCGGTGAGACATAATTTCCATTGAAATATTTGATGGGATGTTTTGCATTGGATCGCTTTTCAGGCGCGCAAGTGTCGGTGATCTATGAAAATGGTTTCCAATGTTGAGAAGGGATGATAAGATCTGAAGAAGTGCATCCCAATGATTACCACCTTGGTAGTGGAAAATTTGTCCCAGGGAATAGCTCAGTGTTGTTTATTGTTAAGTCTTCTTGGATGCATTTCCATGGCAGCATCAGGATTATCAATTCACACTGAAAATTCCTTTCTCTATTGCGCTCATCGCATCTTATGGTATTTCCAAGCCAAGCAATCTCCGCTCTGCCCATTGAATCCCAAAGTCAGAAATCACGGAGAAAATTTAATTTCAATTCGAAACGATTGTCATAATTTGAGAATTTATTGCAGGAGGCCGAATGGTGGTAAGTCTCTGTGGCTTTGAATTATGAACTGTTAGTGGATGGCATTTGTATTATGAAAATGTTATAAACTTAACGGTTGTAATGCGAAGAATCTTTTATTGTTGGCTGCATCAAACTCTCTCTCTTACTCTTCGCGCGTATAAATTCCATCGCGGTATAGAATGGATACATACATATATTTTTTTCCATCCACTTCATTCGCTATTAGTAAAAATATATAAATTAAAGTGTGAGACACTCACCCATTCTCCATAATATACCATTATTTTTTCTCCCATCAAATTTATTCTAATTTATGTCTCTGGGATGTGGCGTATCTTGTGAAAGAGCGACCAATACCAGAAGGGAGAAAGAATCCATTTTCATATCATTAAGTGTGACAAAACCGCGCACAAGGGAAGAGGGAGGAGAGAATGTGAGTGGAGAAATTAGTTGAGTCTTAGAATGAGATCAAAAGAATTCGATGCGATCGGCGGCACAGCTTGAAAGTGTGCATCACACAGGAGAAAGGAAATGCGCAAAGGGCAGGAACGAAAGACTTGCTCGCCGGTGAAGCGACGAACCTGATTTCACAGACTCCCGCGCGAGATGTGAGGCTGCGTGAAGTAAATTTTATTGATCCTATATCACATTGGTATATCCCATAAATTAACAAATTTTTCCTCACTCAATGTGCCAGCACTAATTTATCTGGTGGGCAGGCAGGAGTTGTGAAAAATGCGCCTAGATGGAACAAATTGCAATGAGAGAATACATATCGACAGAAGATGATTGATCGTGGATTGTGCAGTGTGATTGTCTTTAATGTTGGCTCTGTCTTTTGTCATTTCAGTAACCCCACTACTAAAATTAACGGTCAAACCACGCCTCTGGATGTGTCTGGCCTATCACAAAATGAAATACAAGGCTTGTTGCTCGGTTCACACCCATCATCACAGAACATAACCGTCAAGCGGGAACCCGAAGACTTGCGAAAAGATCCCAAGTGCACACGCAGTAGTCAAAAGGTAATTTATCTCTCTATCTACGTTATGCCATCGCTGGTGTTCTTCCGTTTTGGCACACAGTCCAAATTTTCCATTTGATGTTTTGGCATGCATGATGTGGAGGCTTTCGAGTGAAAATTGCCTCCACAATAGTGTAGTAGATTGATTAGATTATTAATTAGAGATTCTAAATGGACAAATCGACCCTGTGGGGATCTCGGCAAGTGATCGTGAACCTCCGGTGGCTTCCACACAATAACTGGTAGTTCTCAGCTCCCTCGGTTGTACAATGGCACGTCGAAAAGGGGACGACATATAAAAGTATAATAATTGTGTGCCTGAGCATTTGTGAAGCCATCAAGTTACAAGTTGTGGCACGACACTTTGATTTAGTTTGTCGCCGGACGCCGATCAAACGACATCATACAAAATGTTGATGGGGAAGTGAAGAGGACGAGAGTGAATTGGATGAAAGTGAATTGAATGCGATGGAATTTGAGAATCATCACTGATTTAGTGTGATCAACAATTGGGATATCAGTTTCACTAAAGGAGCCAAAATCTCCTTTGGCGCATGACTCTATGCTGTGCATTATTACTTAACTTTTGATCCAAAGTGATTGTGAAGTGCGACAAAAAAGGTGTTTTTCCGTGGAAAGTTCCATGATGTTGGAAGAGTTTGCATTTGATTGACGGATTGAATTTGTGTTTTTTGGTTGTTTTTGAGCTCGAAATCAATTTTTGCATATTTGAAATGCGAGCCATAAGAGTTGAGAGAAAACAAGAAGGCGATTTCTTGAGAGTTTCAAGGCCGTTGCTATAAATAAACGGAATTAATTATAATATGTACTTCAGAGACAACATGTAGGATGATATTTTGTGGTTCTAAGTTGCTTTGGGCACATGAAATGTAACAGCGCGTGAAGAAATTGTGCGAAATAAGGGCGATTTGTCCAGACGTTTGTGCATATTTTGTGCGTAGAGTTTGTATAGAGTGAATTTTTGTGATTTGATCGACAGGTTCTTGTAGTGCAATCACCATCACCGTCGATCCAAATCAAAGAACAACCTCCAAGTCCTGGAAGTCCCTCTGCGGAAAATATGTATGCGGCCGCTGGCGGCACGCAGATTTACCTGCAGGTATGTTTTTTTTCATCAAGATCCCAAATTGTGATTCACTGAAGTGTGATGCATTAATAATGCGTAATCAGTGTGAATGGAAATCAGTGTGTGTAGTGTGAAAATATGTGCATTGCTATTGAACCCTAATTTCAAAATGTTCAATCATTGAAATAATAGGGGCAAATTTGCCAAGAAAAAAGTCCTCCTTTGGAAGAAGTTCTTGCCAAAATATTGTGAAGAGAGAAAACAAGTCAACCGTGTGTTAAGTTGATGAAAAGACACTTTTTTCTGCACTCTACATCATACCTAATAAGTTTGTAATTAGCACCTGGGCTCTTTCAATTTGGCCATGGTGTGAATTCTGGGTGTTGTAGAATAGAGAGAGAGCCAAATCACAAAAAATGAGCAAAATTTGTGCATGAATTAATTCAGAATTGTTGGGAAATTTCCCTTCCTCTCGAATGTCAAATTGATGATAAATGCATGCCCTCAGGGACCGTCGTCACATCAAGGCAATTCAGCGACATCGGGACCAACGGTGAATACGAATACTCCAAGTCCTGGTCCATACGTTTCCGATCAGTATGGCATGTACACCACGAGATTAGCGTGAGTAAATTGATGATTCTCTCCTCCCATGAATGTGAAATACACAGTGTGATCATCACGGAGTGTTTATCGAATTCGGTAGCTGCCGAATTGCGTAAGGTGGAAGCTGTGGTCTTCCACGGGAAATTAAAAAAAACTGGAATAGCGCTTCGGTATCAGTATATCGTCTCTTTCTGGTCAGAAGTGGGGAATTATCTCAGAAGTGCACACTTTTGAGTATTTGAACACTCTACAGAGTCTATTAACTATTTCAAGTGAGTTTAAATGACTTGTCTTCTGACTCTAACTGAGATGAATAGAACAGTTGAGTGGGGTGAAAGGGCCACCCACCGCTAGTTGGAGTGTCAAGTCTGATTGAGTGAATTATATTCACATATTGCCAGACCAATAACTAGTGCACAATGAATTTTGTATATTCATTGATCTCTTTCATCAAAAGCAAGAGATATTTCCCCATAAATGGCGAGAGCGTAGGTGTAGACTTTTGTGATATTCCCACTGTATTCCTAGTGTTAATTGCATCGCAGGTGACAAAATGCCGAGTTGTGGCAATAAATTCATGAAATTGTCTTTCAGTGCCGGAGGGTCCACATTTATAGCTGAGCCATATTATCGCGAATACTTTGCCGGAGATGGACAGAGTTATGTGGCAACTCGTGCCATTTACGACTCCGATGGGCCACCGCCGCCGCCCCCATCACAGGTGCCCTCTTCCGTGTCGGTGACGGTGGCCGGTGGGGCGACAACGTACGAGGGACGCTTCGCGACATCCCACACGAAGACGAGCACCCCCATCTATGCCAAGACCGTCACAGCGGCCGGCCTGACGGTGGACCTGCCGAGTCCGGACTCTGGGATTGGCGCGGACGCAATAACGCCGCGGGATCAGAACAATATTCAACAGGTGACCCATAGCCTCTATACATGGTTCTCATGCGGTTGACTCGTTCGCACTTCCCAGAAGTGCGCCACCCAAACAATGGGCTGTATTGCAACATAATGAAATTTTGGGTTCATTCCGTATCTCTTCTCCCCATCACTGACCCCTTGACTTGCTATGCTCCTGCATGGGGTGTGCGCTGGGAGTTTGCCGGTCAGAAAATGTTGCTCAAAGTACAACCTGCGTGCACATTACATGAGTTATTATCAATTAGGTAATAGGTCTCCGATGGCAATCATTTGCTTACCCACTAGTAATGTTTTTTGAGCACTTTATAGACTTTATTTAATTATTATGCCTCTCTGTCGCCGATAATCTCGCGTTTATGCCCACGGAGAACCTTAGATCTATTTTTCAAAATTGACCCAGAGTCGTGAAATAATTAATGTTGGTAGATTTCCAACCCGTGAGAGTGAATTAGGCGAGGTGAGCAGATATAAAGTTGGGTTGTATTTAGAACTGTACAACATAAAATGTATAATGATGTAATTTATTGCATTGAATTCAATTCGCATTTATTTTTTCCAATCATTAGATACACAGCTTAGTTGGTGGCTAAATAAATCATCGGATTTTTTTTTCTTTTCTTTATTTACCACTGTTTTTTCACTCAATACAGCATAACTTTGAGCCATTTTGAGTGGTGGTGCACAGATAAGTGCACTGGAAAAGGCAAAGTTATTTGGTGTTGGTGACCAAGTTGAGAGTGCATGATGGAAAGAATTGCGCGATAAATGCCGTTCTTAAGGGTAAAATCATCAATTTTTTTTCCTCCTTTATATGTATATCCACACTGCAATTTGTACTTGATATTCTTCTCTCACTCGCCATCGTAATTGTGGACTCACGGTGTTGTCCAGAAGAAGTGGAGAGGAGAGAGACTCCAATTGAGAGCCGTCGCGATTGATGTTTTATTTTATAATTGTCGGTGATTTTAGCTTTAATGGTGTAATTGAATTAATTTACCCATAAGTGACATTTTCTGTATATCTCGCTGGGGGTAATTATCTTCTCTCCGAAGCGCAGTTGGATATTGGGATGATGAGTGAAGAAGGGAATAATGTGAGAGGCATGATGAAAAAATCAAGTGGAAATTTTATAAAATAATTATATCAAATGCTTATGAGTAAACTATTGAGATGTTGTAATCGAAATTCTTCTCACCTTTTAAGCAGTCCTTTGACTACACGGAACTCTGTCAACCTGCATCGCTCCTGGACGGCAGTTCAGCATCAATTCCCGTGTCTGTGACTAGCATCCAGCGGACGGTGCACGGCGGCCAAGGGAGTCCCACGGGCGCTGTTGGTGTGAATCACACGCCATCCACGAGATCCAGACCGTGGCATGATTTTGGACGGCAAAATGACGCTGACAAAGTTCAAATACCAAAAATGTAAGCAATCCAGAGTCCAGAAATTTTGTGCAACTAAAACTCAATATCTTTCATTGTTTATTTGTATCTCTTCCAATTGACACTCCAGATTCTCAAATGTTGGATTCCGATATAACTTGGAGAGCCCAATAAGTTCATCGCAACGCCGCGAAGATGATCGTATTACGTATATAAATAAAGGACAATTCTACGGGATCACCTTGGAGTACATTCATGATCCGGAGAAGCCCCTTAAGAATCAGACTGTTAAGGTGAGTCTCACAAACGATTATAAAGTCTCTTGTTCCCCCTGTCTGTGCCGAATAGGGGTGAAAAATCCTTTTTTGCCCATGTGCACCGCTTTGATTCTCCTGTTGTGATTTATGGAGGATGTGTTGAAGAGCACAAAACACACCTTCGAAGATCCTCAACATCCTCAATTGCGTCTCATCATCCATGTCTGGTGTGCCGTCCCTTTTGCCCGTGTGTTGCGGCGAGAAGAATGTCTCAAATGAAATGATGAGTGACTTCTCAAAGGTGTTAGATAATTTTTTCTTCCTCCAACTTCTCATGTTATTCTTTTCATCGCGGAAGATGCAATGAGGGGTGTCATCAGACACTTTACCGTCTCTTCTCCTCTCTGTCTATCTTTTTTATTGACAAATTTATTCACTTTCCGCACTTTTTCCTCCAGCATCTTCGTCAATAATTTGCATATAACGATTTTTCAGGCAGATGCTCTAAAACAAACAGAGTTTTTTTCTCTCTTTCTTCAATTGTATGCGCGCCTCCCAGCATTCAATGTTTTTATGCTTCCTCCTCTGTGATCATATGGGGTTGAGATCCTTTCCCCCTTTTTCTCGGTGATCTAAAATTCATTTGTTTATCAATAATCACATCTAAACAATTCCCATTGCGTATCCTTTGTTGCCACACAGCCTCTAAATGCCGCGATGTTTCACAATTTTTTCCCATAATGGGAAAAAAGAGAGATAAATTGCGATCTGTGACCTCACCCTGTGCAAATTGCATTCACAAATCAACCGAAGGTGTGTTTGTGTGTGTAGAGCAAAAAGCAGAGCATTTATTTTATTAGTATCAAGTTCTTGTCGTATGTGCAATCGATTTGGGGTTTATTGCAAATTACCATGTCAGTAATATCAGTCTTGAATCTCCACATGAAGTTTAATGTTAGTCCAAACTGTACATATTAGTTGCCCACGATTATCGACGGGTCTTTCAGACAGATAACCATCATTTCTCACCTTTTTTTCTCCACGTGTCTCATTCCTAAAATGTGGCATTTTGCGAAACATGTAGGTTTTTCAACCATTTCTCTTTGCGAATTTGAATAATTTGGACATTTATGGCTTCAAGCGAAATTCACACTTCACCAGCATTGGGTTAAATAAAATGTTGAGTTTGTTGGGAGACAAAAAATAGCGACTTTCAGGAAATTCTGTGCAAATTAATTAAAATTGTTGTTTTTTATCAGGCAATTTCGTGTTGTTTTTTTTATGATGTCTCTATCAAGTTTATTGGCGACTGAGGAAGATTAGGCGTATTTTTTCACATAAGTGTGATTGACAGAGATTGTTTTCCACGTTTTAAATACCAGGAGTTTGAGAGAGAAAAAAAAGTGAATAATTAAACTCTCATGTGCTTTATACATTTATTACTGCTAAGCAGCACGCGTGATAGAAATGTTACTGATAGAGTTATAGTTTCTATTCTTTTCCCAACCCAAAGAACTCACTGTGATGTGCCTATGGAGAATATAGAGAAATTAAAGTAATAAAAGTCCATCATTAAAGTCCATTACAGCGGAGAGAAAAATATTTCGAATAGCTTTGGCGATAGTGTAAAAGAGATTTAATGTGATATTAAAGAGAAGAAATTTGTTATAGGATTCTTGCGCGTCTTTTAGATTGGCGTGGAGAGAGAGAAAACAATTATTGCGTCTCATTTCATGAAGCAATAAATTTTCATTCATTAGAATTTGACTCTCTCACCTTTCGTCGGTTGATTTTATTTGGGATTTTATTGTATTTATGATAGTCATTATGGGTAGAATCTGCTTGATGATGATGGTTGTTGAAATAAGCAATGCAATTAGCGTATATGCAATCTTCTTGTTACAACTGAGACGATGTGATGGAAAGGGACAATATTGCTGGGTGATGAAAGACAATGAAGAGGAGATCGTGTCCATTGTGGGTTACAATAAAGACATGCAAAAAATGTTGATTGCTCGGTGGAAATTGAATGAAAACATAATTATCAAGTTGGAAATGTGTAATCCATAAAGTGAAATGATGATGCATTCAAATGCATGGCTGTCCTTAATGCCAGAGAGCCACAACAAATGTTGATGGCATTAATGTGGATTAGCCTAACTGTAAAGTGGGTATGAAGCCAATTTTAATTAAGATTTATATCTTAGGAAATATGCTATGAATGTTTCCTCTTTTCGATGCTCTTTCCATTATTATTTTTCCCCAGTGCATTGCTATTAAATGCGCTGCAATGATTCAAATCATACGCACAGAAGTGTCTTCCTCTCTCCACACACTGGATCATGAGAGTCACTATCTTCAAGAGACACTTAAAGTTTCCCCGCCATTACGTTGGACGTATTGGTGATGATAGAATTTCTCTTTATAAGCCGTTTGGGTATTAATTGATGCTAAATGTGAATTTCTGTAGACAAGCGTGCAGATGCAATTGAATAAAAGAATGTTTTTTTTCACCATGACTTCAGCGAATCTGTGCACAGATATGTGAAGAAAACGGAAAAGAAATTTAGTAGCATGAATTCACCTTCTCATTTAATTTATCTCTTCATGCAGTGTTAGCATCTAATGAAACGGAGTGAAATTGCATGTCGGACATATAAACATTTTATATTAATAATAAATGTCTTATGGGAGGATTACAAACTTCTATACAAATTGCAATAAAACGGTTTTTACACTATGTACCGTTTCCCATCTGAATTTCCAAGTTGAATTTCACAAATTTACACTGTTTGGGATCTATGAGAAAAGAGATACGCCGCGTGTGTTGCTTTCGCGTACACGCACACATGTGCTATTGAAAAGGAGGTGAGAGCACGAGAAAATTTCCGTCCTTGCATAATTTTACGCCCTGTCATCCCAGTTACTTTGATTGATTGTCAGAAGGAAACTGTGAGCTTTTTTGTGAAGTGCCTTTCCTCTTGAGAAACGGCACAGAGATAAAAATCTTCCAATCAGTTCCATCATCTTTATTTAAATTAGCACATATATGAGAGAAGTCACAAAATATCCTGAGGATCGTGCACAAAGTGAGGGGCGAAAATGTGAGATCTAGGTGAGATTTTTGAACAAATAAGGTCACATTCTTATGCAAATTTCCCCGCGTGATTAATGTATCCCCGAAGGAGATGCGTAAACACATTCATTTCCACTGAAAATTTATTTTGTAAATATTTATTGTGGTTGTCGAATTGGCGGCGAAGGGGATTTATTTCAAATGGAAAAATATATGTGAATTTTTCTCTTTCGCTTTATAAGCCAAATATTATGCGCGCGAATTTAAAGAGGCGATTACAAAAAGGGAACAAGAACTTTTAATCCTCATTGTTGTGACATTTTTTTTTTCTTGTAATTGTGTCAAAGTGGGAAAAAGTAAAAGTTTTATTAAGGGCATACAGTTTTGATTATGATAAAAAACATTAGTAGGATATGTTGAACCCTGAAAAATCTGCAATTTCCTCGTCATTGACAAATTTTTTCAGCGGTGCAATCTTCTGTAATTTAGTACATTCTTCTGTTGTGAATTTAAAATTCCGTGAGTCCTTTGTTCACAAAACATAATCTTCACGTTGCTTTTTCTCCATGCGGAGAATCATTTTGTATGGTATTTTGTAAAGAATTCAGTCATAACGAGGCGTAATTTTTGATGCGATATCAAATTGAGAGTGACACATAAAAAATGACGGGATGGATAAGTGTGTGGAAGGGGAAATATTTTCCCAAGTGAAAATACCGCATTTGGTTGGCTTTGAGGTGAAATAACAATTAACACATGAAAATTATCATTGTGCAATTGCAGAAAATGAGAGAGAGAGACAATTTTGTGGAATGCTTCCAAGAGCAGAGGAAATGACTGGGATTCTCTCAGATTCTCGTGTGATTTTGCTATCAATTTGTGGCGCTTTTGGTATTCTCCTTCTTAAACCACCTTTTTCGTATGTAATTTAAACTGCTGCGCGGTGTTTTTCAATTGAGTTGGAAGTAATTTTAGGTGCAGGAGAAGAAATCCGTTTATACAGTTTATTTGACTTTGATACTCTCTTCTCCTATTGCCAAGTTCCAATTGTGAGGTTGTATGATTATAAGTTTCTTGCTGTTTTTCTGTATAATTTAACAAGAATTTATCGCACAGGAAACACCTACGGTAGGCTGAAGAGAGTGAGAGAGCATAAATTACATTGTTTTGTCAAACAAACTATGCCACGAGTGTTTTGTATCTGTGGTGGAAAGGGAAAAGAGTCCATGTTGGAGCAATTGTGTGTGATATTGAACACTATTATTGCCACTTTATATCATTTTCCACCTCCACGCCGCTCCTTTATCACTTCATGTTCTTTTTTCCTCAATATACTCCATATTCTACGCTCTCGATAGCCGGTTATAGAAATCATGTGCAGAGGTGAGATACTCTACTGGACGCTGTAACATTGATTAATTAGAATTTAATGAATTTTTCTTAAGAATACTCTTTTTTTTGCCACTGCACGAAATGAACAATCAATCATCCCTCCTTAGGATATGATTTTTGGTTTTTCCCGAAAAAAAATCATCAATTTCAGTAGCGACTTTCCCATGAGTCACAGAGCGCGAGTTCGAACTATATAATCATGAATTGTGACTAGAGAAATATTGTAATTTTTTCTTCAATGCAAATGAACTGGTGCACATGTGGAAGAAAGAAGTATAATGTTGATTTATTGTGAATTAATTCTAGGAAATAATTGTGAGAAATTTGTCATGAAACACTGTATTTATTTATGATTTTTATCTTTAATTTGCAGAGTGTGATAATGCTGATGTTTCGGGAAGAGAAGAGTCCCGATGATGAGATAAAGGCCTGGCAATTTTGGCACAGTCGACAGCATTCGGTGAAGCAGAGGATCCTCGATGCAGGTAAGCGTCTAATCTTCTCATGCTACTGCTACGGTAGCGGTGTGATGGTTAATTGAGGGAATTTAATTGAATCGATCTGGCGCAAAAGGGGTGATTGAGAAGAGGGATGCTGGCGTGGAAGGCGACTAAAAAATGTGAATGGAATGAGGGAGAGTGAGAGAGAGGCAAGGAGAGGAGGAGGAGGTGAAGAAGGTGACTTTTGCCTTAAGAAGTCATTAAGTTGGTTTCTTGAGCCTCCGAGATACTCAAGTGAATTTAATTGACAGGTTTTACGACTGCGTCTCATGCACTCGCAATCCATATTATTTGCATATAAGAAGTACCTTTTTCACTACGCCAAACCCACTCCCTACTCCCATCTTCATTCACTGCTCAGCGCGCCAGCGCCGATGGACAAGAGCCCGATGATGGAGTGGCTCCGAGGCTAATTGAGGCGATTAGCTTTGTCTCTCTCATTGTTGAATCTGGTGGTGAGACGGATCATTTGATGCCTCAATTGATCGATGGTGAGGAAGGAAAAATATGTGTGTGTTCATTGAGAAGAGGCCAGCGCAAATTCACTTAAATAACAATAATTCAGAATTCTCTATGGGCTGAAGAGGCGCACACACATCTTGGCGCGATAGCCAGTGGGCAAATTCATGGGTGAGAGATTTTGATCTGCAATTGGTAGGCAAAACCAGTCAATCTAGAATATTTGTCATACATTTTTAAGAGATTCTGTGTGTACTGGCAAACATAATAATATGTTTAAATATTAATTTAACCTACGCTTCCACCAATTATCCAGCAGCCAACATGTGATGACCGAAGAAAATTTATTTATCAATCAATATATTCAGCCGGCGAGAATGCGCGCCTTTTGCCCGCGAGGATGTGGGAATTACATACATGAAGAGGGGCTCCAATCATTTGCATTTTAATTCCAATGAACAAATTCTTAACATAACTTGTCACTTTTGCTATTTTTCTTCCTTCAATCGCGCCCCATCGATTGTTATCAGCGAGAGAGAGAGAGAGAGAGAGAGAGAGAGAGAGAGGGAGACGTTTTATTCATATTTTCTAAATGGATTTTTTTTATTATTGCTTAATGTATTGGAATTTTAATTAGATGTCATTTTAATGGTTGTCATTTTCATCATTTTGTCTTTCTTGCAGACACAAAAAATTCTGTCGGCCTCGTTGGGTGTATCGAAGAAGTGGCTCACAATGCAATTGCCGTTTACTGGAATCCTCTGGACAGTTCAGCAAAGGTAGAATCTAAATTTTTGATTTAGGGTGAAATTCAGATTTCTTGTGCGTTAGATGATCGTGACAACTCTGTTATATTAAACCTGTCTAAAAGTGCTCCGTCATGAAAGGGTTAACGCAAGAAGGAAGAGAAAGAGTGAAGCATCTAATCTAAAGTGTCTGAAGTAATGCGGTATTTGAAAAATGGCATATATAGAATTTGCAATGCGTGTGTTGCGGAAAGCTCATCGGGAGAGTGGGATGATGTGTGAAGAAATGACCGGTGGGATGGAGGGATTTAATGGTTAATTTTTAATTGTATTTGGCGCAACATTAAAAGACACTCTAAAAGTGTCTCTTAAGATCTTTTATAGCAATTTTATCGGGTTATGCCTCTCTTTGGCGATATTTTTATTATCGACTAAATCTACCATTAAAAATGTCCATTGGTCATTTAATTTCCATCACCAAGAGTGTTTTTAATTGTGAATGGACAAATGCATTACACTGTGTAGTGTGTGGACACTCTTGGGCGGCAATTTGTCGGAAGGAAAGAGGAGAAAAAATTCAGCTCAGTGCAAATTATTTATTGCATAGAGAAAAAATATACCGTCTATTCCGTGTGATTGAATTTCTCGGGTGTATTTTACAATATCCAGCATGGCAAGTCGAAATTAATTTATAGGTGAAAATGGAGTTTTATGTGTGTTGAGCTCAAAAGTCCAGGTGAATAAGCTCTTGCGTTAATTAATAATTTGTTGTGCTGCTCTCCGGCACTTGAAATCTGTTGCACCTCTTTTTGCCTCCTCACTGTATTTACTATTATTATTATATTTAATTAATGCAAATAAATTATCACAGAAGCTTATTTTGCACCAGTGACGGTATCTGTGGGCGGTGACGTACAATTTGTATGGATGGACGTTGGATATAGAGTGAATAAGCCGGGGCGAGTCGTGGAGTGAGATAACTAATGGCAAATTAGAAAATTAATTCCACACATTGAGATTTGAGATTTGTGATTGCGTATATAGAAAATAGCCACAGACAATCGCTTCTTGACGGCAATTAAAATAACTCCGTCAAAATGTATCATCCGATGGGGAAGGAAGCGAATTTTCTTTCTGGTACGAACTCGAGCACCCTTCTCATTCATTGAATGTCCAGAGAGAAATATACTGAAAATTTGATAATTCATCTTTTGCAAGTGTATGAATTTTTAAAATGATCCGTAAAGAGAGAGAAAATGGCATTCTCACAAGTCATACGGGGAGATATGAAAGTTTCTATGAGTTGAAAATATTTTATTGAGCAATGCAATTCACTTAGGCATCCATATATAAGTATGGCAAAATGTTTAGGCACGGGAGATGGAAAATATCTTATTTACATTTCTTGACATCTCAGCCGAGTTGGAGGCAGGTGAAGGTGCGATAATGCAGAGTTGAGCGCTGGCAATAAGCCTTTGGATTTTATGTGCCACACAGAGAAGAAATTCGCATTGCGAGTTTGATCACTATCTTAAGTGGTGCGTCTCATCTCTATCTCACGGTCATTCTCACAATTTCCATGCCATCCCGATGGTCAGCAGAATGGGAGGATGGCGAGACCATCCAGAATTAGCCACTCTAGCGCATTTTCTGCTCCCCGCTCCACAGCCGTATATGTGGCGATGACAATGTTGCATAATGCAATCCTTATCGAATTTTATGAAGAATATTATAACTGCTGAGTTTCCTTATGATTGCCGTGTGACTCCGCACTCACCACAATGTCTTATTAATATTGCTAGTGATTGCATTTGCCGGGTGGATTGACAAAACTCTCGGCGGTTAAATACACTAATGCACTTTATGATCTAACCTCTCTCTCTTCTTCACGTTCCTTTGCAGATAAATATAGCCGTTCAGTGCCTAAGTACAGATTTTAGTAGTCAGAAAGGTGTTAAGGTGAGTCAACGCTTAAATTGAATGATAGACTTCATTGAGTGACTTTTTAAACGAAATATTTCCTTCTTTTCTCGACAGGGTTTGCCTTTGCATGTACAAATTGACACATTCGAAGATCCACGAGACACACAAGTCTATCATAGAGGTTATTGCCAAATAAAAGTCTTTTGTGATAAGGTGAGTAAAGGCATTTATTCCCAATTGCATTTCATGATCACTTTGCGCGAATTGTTAATGCAAGGCAACAGAGGAAATTAATATTGAATATAATATAAATAATCGTAAATTTGAATTCAGAAGAGTGTGTGGATTGGGGAGAATCACGGGGTGGGAAACAGAAGCTAGCATTTAGATCAAGAATTATTGATCGTAAAATAATAATGGTTATCACTTAATAATTCCTCCGGTGAAGCAGTGGAAAATTGTCACAAGCAAAGAAGTCTGCACGGGGTAATCGTAAAATTCTCCGTTAATATTTATATAAATTAGCTATGACTTTTTATAGTGTAGAGAAACGTGAAATTCATTAGGGAAAAGTAATAAATTAACCGGCAGTACGTGAACTAGAGTTGATCTCGAACAATTTTAAGAGCATTGCGCGTATTTGGAGGTGAAAAAAGGCTGGAAAGTTTAGTAAAACACTCAATTTATCGTTCTTATCTGATCATCATGTTGAGATACAAAGGCGCTCTACGTTCTTTAGAGCGTGTGCTGCACAAAGTGGAGGGAAGTACGTGAATGATCGAGTCTCTGGGGCTTCCGAAAGGTGAAATATTGAAGTATGTGGGCGATCAAGGCAAATAATGAAGTAAAAGCACTATGAAGAAATTACAATAAATAAGCTGTGCACAATAAACCGCTAATCAATTTCTACCCTGCAGGATTAATATTTCACATTTTTCACGTCAATCCACATATTATGCATGACGCTCGGTACATTGTGCTGCCAGTGAATGCATCATTTATGTTTTGTAGATTTTGCATGTGCGCACGATGGCATTAGTGGGAAAAAGGGGAGAGATTCGAGTAAAAGTGCCTCTGAATGGCAAAATAAACATTAAATTTTATTCAATTCCATCAACACGGGGCGGCTTGTAAAATTTAATGCACCAATATCATTGGGTAGGGTGTCGTAAATTCATAAAATTATTCCAATGATATGATCTTTATAGTGATCGGCTTGATCACTTTCAACAGTATTGATCATAAAGATGACTGCTGAATTCATCCTGACTGAATTTGCAATTTAAATTCATGGATGTTCACAACAGTCGCTCTTCAGCAATTATTGACGTTTTGCATATTATGTGTGTGATCTTCAACTGATCGTTGCAAGATCTTAACTCACTATTGAACAGAATGCCACACATGGGGACTCGATCAGAGAATGTTCTTTTTTATTTTCTTCAACGCGAAGATTTGCCTGTTTTTTTTAGTGCCCTAAAAGCTGTTCAGAGATGATTAGCTTGCAAAATGAAGGAACAATGGCACTTTCCAAAGCTCACAAGTTACGGTGTTCTTACAGGGTGCTGAACGCAAGACTCGCGATGAAGAGCGTCGTGCTGCAAAGCGGAAAATGACAACGACAGGTCGAAAGAAGCTGGATGAGTTGTACCATCCGGTGACTGATCGGTCGGAGTTCTACACAATGCAGGACCTCAACAAGCCACCTGTTCTCTTCTCGCCCGCCGAGGACATCGACAAGGTGCGTGTTTTGCTGATTAATGCCATGTCGAAGGCGATTTATTTATTTAATATATGTTTTCTCGCCATTTTTAGCTGTCTGGAATGGAGCTACAGGGCTTCTATGGCCACGATGATCTGACTGGATCGCAAGATATCAAGGGAACTTCACCTTTTCTGCTGCACACAGCCAACAAGCCCATCACACCCACGCTCAAATTTCACAATCACTTTCCACCCGATGTGCCAACGTGAGTAAAGATCGCACAGACGAACTGTGGATTCTCATTTACAGGAAGTAGTGAGTCTATTTCGCATTGCAGGGACAAGAAAGATCACATGCTGGACAGCGGAATGGTGCAGAACTCAATGGGGGAGTTCGGACAGTCGGTCAAGCGACAGAGGATGACTCCGCCGCTGTGCGATCGTGTTATGCTGTACGTGAGGCAGGAGAATGAGGATGTCTACACTCCACTTCACGTCATCCCACCCACAACGGTGGGCCTCTTGAACGCGGTGAGTGATCCACTGGCCTTTATCTCATCCACAAAGTGTTCATCTGAAAAATTAAGCACCAAAAATCGAATCAGATAAGAAAGTTGTTCTCAGGGAGATACAAAATTCTTCACATTTTGCGCCAATAACACAAATTTTTAACTGCTTCTTATATATGTTTGTTTTTTTGTATGACACAGTATTATTTATCTTAAAATGCGATCGACGATGATATTTGTCGTGTTGTAAAGGCAAAAAAAAGAACAAAAATCCACACAAAACTGCCATAAAAGCAGCTGAACAGATCGGATTTGATTGAAAATTAACAATTGTTAACAAACATTTACAACTCTTTTTCTTGCATGGGTGTTTTGACGAAATGCCACAAATCACGGTGTGTTTTAAAGTAAATACAAGTTTCTTAATTCAATAATAAATGGAATTATTAACATCATTCTATTATCATTCAAAAATTAATCATCACTTTGCTGTTTGGATGTTTTTTCGATATTATCTCTTTAAAGCGTTTCTTCCTTTCTAGAAAAATTTCCATAATCAGCAAGACTGCGAAAAAATGTTCAAACAGTGGTTATGTTTTTCTTAATAAAACTCAAAATGCTAATTTTCAACGCAATATAAGAAAGACAGAAATTAAAAAATTGTTTATTGGCACAAAAGTTAAACTATCTCTTTCTCTGTTTTTTTTTACAATCTCTTCTTAAAGTCTTTTGAGAGGATAAAACGATGAAAGAATAAAAAAAATATGAAAAGAATTGGAATGAATTATGATAATTAATATCATTAGCATATTCTATCTTTCTTCTCTTCCTCCTATTTTTGTGCATTGCGCCCGTGGAGACGATAAAATAGAGGATGGAAGAAAGATTGATACTCGATTGTGTTTTTTGTCTTTTCCAAATTATCTTTAGTATTCTGTTTATCTTAATTGCAGATCGAAAATAAATACAAAATCTCATCGTCGAGTATAAATAACTTGTACAGAAAAAATAAGAAAGGGTAAGTGGATGGACTCAAAGTCAGAAAAAAACAACCTTAATCTGTAGAATTCTTGCACATTTCATGCGCTTCTTTCTTTGGTTTGTTCCTAACAACTTTCGCCTATGTCTTCTCTCCTCCTAATAAATTCTCTTGAAATCCTACTTATAAATTTTCCTCGCTCTCAAGATCGCGTTTTGCATCTGAAAAGATGGAGAAGCAATAAATTTTCATATAATCGTATATCTTTTTCTCTCTCACTCTTGATTTATCAAGATCGTTGGTGAAATATTAGGGTTCTTAAAGAGCATACTTGGGATTAAAATAACGATCGAATCTGTGCTGACGATCAAAAAGTTGTTGAGATCTCTTTTTTTGTTCATTGTAAAGAAAAATACATACAGTGGTGTCAAAAATAATAGAGATAGCAAGGAATATAGTTTTCTGTTTTGAAAATCCTATGAGTTAAACTATTTTATTTTTTATTGCTTTCCAACGAAACTCAAAACATTCTCAATATATATAATAAGTCTTTATTTTAGAGCGCTCAATTGAGTGAAAATCTGTAGTATTTCACTTTTCTTTAACATCTGTCTTTAACTGAACAAATGGAAAATTAATTGACAACAGTTTCGAAGACATCTGTATGGTTCTTACCATTTTTTAACGTCCGGGAGGCACAAAATACCGTATTTTACCTGTTTCTTGTCTTCTCTTTTCCCATTTGTAGTCCCAAAATTGCCAAATTTTGTACGAACGTTTGCTAAAGTCTTTTCTTCTTATGTGTTTTGGCAGGATTACGGCGAAAATTGATGATGACATGCTCTCATACTACTGCAACGAGGATATTTTCTTGCTGGAAGTGCGCCAACTTGAGGAGGATGTCTTTGATATCACATTCTCTGAATTGCCAATGGCCTAAGTAGACAAGAAGCAAATCATATTTGGACGCTGGAGGCCGAAAAGGAGATGAATTTGACTACAGAGTACAATTTCAAGAGATAATTTAATTGCCATCTTGCCGTGATTTCAAGTGTTTTCCATTTTTATTAATATTTTTATTTGTAGTGGATAATTTGTATATTTAGAGTAGATGAGTTATGAGTTTATGAGTAGTTAGTTATGAGAAAAGTATTTGGCTTAATATTGTAATTTACATGATAAGGGCAGGAAGATTTTGTAATAAGAGAGAGAGAGAGAGAGAGAGAGTGAGAGAGAGATGAAGAGGTGTTTAATTTATAGCTATTCGTACATCTTTGCAGTAAAAATGGGTATTTTTTGAAATTGTAAATATTCTACATAAAAATGTATTTTTCTCCGCATGCGGAAAGTATTTATTACGAAATTGAGGAAGTTTAGAATATAAATTACAATGAAATGCGATAAGTTTATGAAACATTGAAAAAAAGAATCAATCAACGTATTTTTGCCCTCCTTTCAATCATCATTGAAATTGATATTGAAGAAAAATGATTACGTTTGTTTTTTTTTACTAAGGATTTATAACAAATAGTGAAGCAAGTATTCTAGCCACAGTTGTAATCAGATATTAAGATTTAAGTGGAAATATTACAAGAAATAGAAAGGAAAACTGCCATAAATTGAAGTGTGTGAAGAAAGTGGACAAATGAATGGAATTCCCATATTTTTTCATAGAGTAAACTGACAAAAGGTAAAAGAAGATTTTTAAATAAATTATTTTTAACGAAATATTTAAGTACCTGATGAATAAATCAAGATGGGAAAAGTGGAGAAAGATCAAATGCGAGAAGAGAGTTTTCAGCGCAAGTCAGCGGAAGCAAAATGTTGCTAATAAATCAACTTTTATCATTGAGTGCCAATCTACAATTAAGGAATTACATATCCTTTTTATATTATAGGAATTAATGTTTAAACTTATGCCAATTTAAACGAACATATTATCATTTTTTTTGTAATTGTAAATTCTCGATCTCGAAACAAAGTTTTAAGTTTTCACAATTCAAACTTTATAAATAACATTTGTGGGTAAAACAGGAGGAATTTCCAAAATGACGGGAAAGAAAATTGTTAGATATTAACTGACGTTGATAGATTTTTGTGAATTCCATAAAATTCGTAGGTTTCTTTTTTTTCTTTCCTTAGATTTATAGACAACTTATTCATAGCGACACTTCAATTCATTAACATTGTCTTTTTGTTAATTAATTTAGCTGTGAATTCTGCAATATTATTTTTAATTTTGAAAAAAATATCCATAACAAATAATTTTCCGTATAATCATAATGTGGGATTATATTGAGAGTAATTTTGTGTATTTTTTCATAAATATTAAGATTACTTGCATTTAATTTTTTTATTTACTTAATTGATACTTATGGTGGAGGATTTATAAGTAAAGAACGAGAAAATATCAATCAATGAGGAACACTCACTTTTCTTTCTCAAATTACTTCTACATTCTAACTAATTTGTATCTTTTTTCAAGAAGCAAAGTAACTAGATTTTCTGAATAATGTTTTTTTTTTAATTTCCAAATCAACCCCTTTTGAATATGGAGAAATAATAGTGTAAAGAGAGTAAGAAAATCATTGTCAAATTAATCTTGATAATTGAAAAAGTGTAGTTTTATGGAATTTTTAAATTAGTTTTAGACCAATCCATTTACACAATTGAAGAGAGATAAATAAATAGAGAGTGTATTGATAAAAAGACTTGTTTTATTCAAAAATCCAACGGTTCACTGTTTCTGGTGTTTCTTGTGTCCGTTGAATGGTTTCAGCCGTGACGTCACTGATTTACAGTGTACTTTGACTGCGCGGAAAGTTGTGGAACGTGTGGAATCAGCTGGGATATTGTGATGTAATTGCATTGAACGAGATATCACACAATGAGCGTAGTTTTTCGGGCAATAAAAGGTAAGTAGGCGTGCGGTTTGTGGTGCAGGAGCTTCTTAACTCATTAGGGAATCGTTCCAGTGCATCAGAGCGCCTTCCGGCTGGGCGCTCTGCCACGGCGGCACTTCTCCGGTGCCGCGGGTAAGTTTCCTCGCATCACTACACACTACACGATGAATCCGCGCGACAAGGATCCTCGCTGGAAGGACATGGACATGGAGCGGTCAGTGGACGAGGTGGATGTGATGATTGTGGGCGGAGGACCATCGGGAATGTCGGCTGCCATCCGGGCGATGCAGTTGGCGGCTGAGAAGGGGAAGGAGATCCGGGTGTGCGTGGTTGAGAAGGCAGCTGAGGTGGGTGGTCACATCCTGTCGGGAGCTGTGATCGATCCGGTGTCTCTCAATGAATTGCTGCCCAACTGGAAGGAGTTGGGAGCACCGCTGAACACACCCGTGACGAAGGATAAGTTTGCCTTTCTCACGAAAAACGCCCTCCTGCCTATTCCCATCTTCAAAGGCTGGCCGCAGGACAATCACGGTAATTATATCGTGCGTCTTGGTCACGTGGTGCAGTGGCTGGGCGAGCAGGCTGAAGCCCTCGGGGTGGAGATCTATCCGGGCTGTGCTGCGTCTGAAGTGCTCTTCCACGAGGATGGCAGCGTCAAGGGAATCGCCACGAACGACGTGGGAATCGCCAAGGATGGCTCTCCGAAGGACACCTTCGCTCGTGGAATGGAACTGCACGCCAAGTGTGTCATCTTCGCTGAAGGATGTCGAGGACACCTGACCAAGCAGCTCATGACACGTTTCGGCCTCAATGCACAATCAGAGCCACAATCCTACGGCATTGGATTGAAAGAAGTGTGGGAAATTGAGCCTGAGAAACACCATCCGGGACTTGTGCAGCACACAGTTGGCTATCCTCTGTCCAGTGACACGTACGGCGGCAGCTTTCTGTACCATCTCAACGAGCCAACGCCAACAATAGCCGTGGGATTTGTCGTTGGTCTGGACTATGGAAATCCCTACCTAAGTCCCTTCCAGGAGTTCCAGAAATTCAAGACTCACCCCAAGATCCGTTCTGTGTTCGAGGGCGGCACCAGGATCGCCTATGGTGCGCGAGCGCTCAACGAGGGTGGCTTCCAGAGCATCCCCAGACTCACTTTCCCCGGCGGATGCATCGTTGGCTGCGGAGCGGGCTTCATGAATGTGCCCAAGATCAAGGGCACACACTATGCCATGAAGAGTGGCATGTTGGCGGCTGAGAGTGTGTGCGAGGAGCTCTTCTCGGACACGCCGAGCAGTCAAACAGTGGGAATTGAGCCCAAGAGTTACGCAGAGCGCGTGAAGAGCAGCTTCATCTGGAATGATCTGCACAAGGTGCGCAATCTCAGGCCGAGCTTCCATGGCTCACTTGGCCTGTACAAGGGACTCGCTCTATCGGGCATTTCAATCATTCTGGGCGGTCGCGAGCCCTGGACAATGTCTCACGGTGGGGCTGACAATACGAAGATCCAGCCAGCGGCCAAGTGCACGCCGCCAGAGTACCCGAAACCCGATGGAAAGGTCACTTTCGACCTGCTCTCGTCTGTGGCTCTGACCGGGACGAATCACGAAGGCGATCAACCGCCTCATCTAACACTGAAGGACGACAGCGTGCCCGTGGCCAACAATCTGGCCGCGTTTGCCGGTCCCGAGGCGCGCTTCTGTCCGGCCGGAGTGTACGAATTCGTGCCCAACGAAGAGGCCGGCGGGGACGCCATGAGGCTGCAGATCAACGCGCAGAATTGCATCCACTGCAAGACGTGTGACATCAAGGATCCCACGCAGAACATCAACTGGGTGGTGCCCGAGGGCGGCGGCGGACCCTCGTACAATGGCATGTAATCTGGAGGACGTCCTGATATCAATTGATGACAAAATCGCATTTATTATCACTATTTTTGCACGCCCGGAGAGTCTGTAAATATATTTGAAAGTACCTTCCAGTTGGTGACTGATTGTAGTGAGAAAAATTTATCCAATTGTATACTTTTCTAATTGCGGGGTGAATAAAGTCGAATTTTTATCTTTCGAATTATGGAGTTTACGAGAAAGGAAAAGACACATTTCTTACATAGATACTCATATATTTTCTTTCATTTTTAATATATCAATTTATCGGAACAATCATTTTCTTCTCATCATCATCAATCAACTTAATCAAAAGTTCTTTTCTCTCTTCTGTTAGTTCATCAATCCGTTTTGCTTCTGGAGCACACTTTTCCTACAACTTTTCTCATCTCCAAATCTTCATGTTGTGGTGTTGCTTTTTTTCTATGAATGTTTTGGAACGGATTTCTTCAACTCATCTTATAGAAACTTTACACAATCCTCTGTCTTTCAAGAAAACGGGGAGATACAACGACTTTGTTACTTTTCCTTAATATTCTCTTAATCCATTTGTGAAGACATTTAATATTCCATCATTACAGGTAAGTCATATTTTTTTTCAATATTTTTATGTTCTTTACAAGAGAATATCCAATATAACAACTAATAATTGAGGAATTAGACATTTACCAAATTCATTCTTCGCATCTCCTCACTTTTTTATTTAAACTCTCTGCATCAACAGTAAAAACGATTCAATGGGTTTTTGTCTTGCATTGACTTTTGGGGCCAAAAGGTGCTCATCATGTCACTATTCAACTACACACCGTCCAGTTAGGGGTGAACATCAGCTCTTTGTACGTAGAATCTTTCCTCTCACTTAATATGCTTCCACTAAAAATATTCAATTTTTTCTGTCTCCTCATCGCACAGTATTTACAAAAAAAGTCTCACAACGAATTCCCCCTTCTTTTCTGAGTAAAAGGAAAAGGAGGTGAAAACGGAGCAGTTTTTTTTTAAGTGAAAGTATAGGGAAAGAAGGTGGAAAAATGTGTGCAAGTGATATGAAAAGCTCTGGCTTTCTCCTCTGGATCTCCCTCATTTTTCTACTTCTCTTCGCCATTTGTGTAAAAATTTTTACTTTTCACTTTTTTTTTCTCTACTAAACAACGTCATTCAAAAGGTCACATTTAGTTCATTAAATTTCATTTCTTGTTAAAAAAGGTTTCAGGCACAACACACGCAAAATAAAATTTCTCTCCATTATAAATCTTTTTGGTGTGAGTTTGTCAAAAAGGCTCATTTTTTTCTACTAAATTTGTTGTTTCACGTGATGAAACCAATTTCACTTATGAAAGCTTCTTTTACGTTTTCCTCTCATATTTTTGTCTCTTTATTAGGTAATTTTTCCTCTTAAAAGTGGTGTTTCGCTATTTGTCTACAATTAGGAGATTTAATACGAAAATGTGTGTATAAAATACCCTGTAGAAGGTGTAAAAAATTCAATGCAATGCACAGGGTGGTTCTTCCTCGGCGACAGAGTTTAAATAGGCAAAAAGGGACTTTCTAAAGTAGCAATTTGGTTACTATTTTAGCCATGGATTAAACCCATTTCTTAGACATGGAAATTAATTATCTTTAGCGGCATTTGTCTTTATTTTCAATTATATTGTTATGAATATTTGTCATAAAAATGCTACCTTTGACGGAAAGTAAGTCGTTCGAACAAAAATTGGTAATAAATTCTGTCTATTTCAATCCTGTCGCATTGAAAACGTGTAATTTAGCCACCCAAAAGGACTTTAAAGAATGGAAAATTGTGCATTTTGAGAGTGATTGAAACACATTTATATACTCATTCTTTGTCCACTTTTGTCATCATATTAAAACACATAACACTGAATATTTAACCACAAAATATTCCCAACGACTTCTTTTGCCAATCTTGGGTGTTTTTTTGTCCACAAATTCGAGCATTAATAGTATAATTATTTTTCCAAGGTAGAGGAAGAATCTTCATGCAGGATTTATGCTTTTTTTCCATGTGCCATTCAATTGGGAACGATTTCTCTCCAAGTGTTGTGAATCACATAGAATTTTACATTGTTTTTTTTCATATATTTTCTTGGTTTTTAAATCTCCGTCTATGTTTTTTTTTTCTTTCTTTCATAATATGCAAATAGGCACTGTGTTTTAAGGCATCTACAAAGTGGAGGTAATTAACACGTATCATTCATTTTATAATACTTAAATATCTTCTCTTTCTTCAATAATGCAATTTTCTATACCATTTGTTATCTTATTAAGTATTTTCCTTTGTGTATAATGATCATTTCTTTTTGTATCCCAGGTATTTCCAATGTGTATAAAAGGATTTATTTTATTGCGAGGAATCTCATTAATGGTGTTAATGATGTCATGACAAAAAATGTTAATTGTTTTTAGTGAAACAAACTGAAGAAAAAAAGTCCACTGATGAAATTGAAAAGTAAATCATATTTTATTCTTTTCTGCAATTTCTTTCTGAGAAAGAAATGTCATCTTCTTTTCTCTCTCTCTCTCACTTGCGGATTAACATAAGGAATTTACAGCTAAAAAAAACTAATGTATAATGTAGAAAATATAGGAGTAATATAAAGACAAATTTAAAAAAAAAATCACACCATCACACCAAAAAAGAAAATCTCCTTTGTATTACTTTATTGTGTTGTTTTTCTCAGAGCTTGTAAATTGGCTTCTTCGTGGATGAAACGTGCAACATTTTTACGAGAAACAGTTAACATTTCTTTTATCTCTCCTCATCGCTAAATTACCATCAACAGTTTTACGATAAATTTTTGGATTGTTTTTTTTTTCTCTTCTATCGGACATTTATTCAATTTAAAGTGTTTTATTTGGAGTTTAGGGAATTATGCGGGCTTTTAACGTGGTTTCTTCACACTCTTTAAAATTATCGGCTTTCTATATATCTTCAATCGAATATTCTCTAACGGATGACTTGTGTTCCTCTGTAATATTGTATAGGATTTTCCAGCTGGTTTTATCTTGTAGGTACTCACTATCATTTTCTCACTTTAAATGGATATGACTAATTATTTCTTGTATTTACAAATATGTTTTAGTAGTTACTCTATGACCAGCCATGGTTTTTACTCTTTTATGCCTTATCTAATTTCTTTTATACCCTCACATTTGCTATTCTCCTTCTTCTCATAATAATTTGCATTAAAATCAAAACAAATTCTATCTCCGTAGATCAAAAAAAATTGAGGGAAACACGATTAATCATAAGACTTTATCTGATTGAGTGTGAATTAGTGTCGTGAATTGTGTAATTGTAACATTATTATCAATAATTCTTTTTTCTTCTTTTAACTATACCCTTTAAATGTTCCTTAAAAATCGCGCGGGATCATTTTTCTAACTCCTCTTTTTTTCACCTAATAATATCATTTATCAGAAAATATACATTGTGTGTCTGTCTAATAAATTTCTCTCATTATATCCACGATTTACGATCTCTGCAACACCCTTTCTATTATAATCAATGGTCAAAGATGACTTCTAAACAATTTCTACCTAAAACGTTAATATTTTTCTCACTATTACTAATTAATTGTAGTTTATCAATATATTCTCCTCTCACTTTTAAATATAAACTCTAACCACACTTCACACGCGAAGTGAAATCTCATGTGTATTTCTTTTCCACTCTATCGCTAAAATTTGTGTTTTCTTCTTCTTCTGCATGAATTCAAATCAAAAGGACACTCTTGGAAGCTGTTTTCTCTCCAAACTCATTTTACACGCCTTCCAAGATTTTTTTCCACTTTCAGTGGCATTTCAGGGTTCCTTTTCATCATTTTGTCCACTAACTTTAATAGTTTTTATATAGTTTAATCCTCACGTCTTATTATTTGTAATAATATAAAATGGCACACGTCTAACTCCATGAGTATCTCGAAAAAATATTCCTTAATAAAAACTCTACTTTCCTACGGCTTAAGCTAAACAAAGAAAAAATATTTTTCTCACACTTGTGACCAGTTTTTTTTACTCTTACTACGAACAAACCAAATTATATCATTTATCAATAGAAATGTAAATAGATATCCATTCTCAATTATGCTGTATAAATAGTAAAATATTTCACTTAATTGAAACTTAATAACTTTATCTATCAAATAGAAAATATGCTTGTTCTTCTCTTTCACATCTTTTCGGTAAGAACGCGGAACTAATAAATATTTCATATCGCTTCTCTTCACTTTCACATCATTTTCAATTTATTCCTTTTTTTAATCTTATAAAAAAGCCAGACTATTAGACTGTTTCACACATCATTTCGTCACTATGCATCGTAAAATAAAGTATATAGAACAAAATCATTCATTGAAAAAGGATTTCTTCTAAATTTTATGCTCATGTTCTTATTTTACCTCTTATTGTTTTACTTCTCTTCACACCATTCTCTTCTATATTTAAAAAAAAAGACTATTTTCGTGTGCAAATATTTTGGTTAATTTCCTCACATTTTAGTAAAGTAATTGCAAAGTAAAAAAAAAATCTTCGAATAAGTACATTGCACGAGAAATAATAAAAAGGAAACTTGTACAGAACCATTCTCAATGATTCACTCGGGGATCATGAAACGTGTCACTTCCCATTCGTTATTTACAGAAATACATAGTCTCAATCCTTTACGGTAAAATGTAACTTGCTTAACGGCTCGGAGTATTAAGAGCTTCTTCATCAAGAAATAAAAACCGTTACTCTGGTACTTTTTACAATTATCATGTGTACTTCTTCCTCTACGTAATTGTTTCTCATCTTTCTTCTCAACATGTGACTATAAAGGGCGGACTTGATATTCATATTTTTTCCTCTTGTTTTCTTTAAAAATATTCTATGACACTCTTCTAAATAGCTCCTTTTTATATAATGTTTCACCGCTCTAAATTTTTCATGGCACTTTTTCTAATATTCTTCTCTTATACAATTGTGATAAAATCTTTAGTGATTTGAGAATGTGTGTGTGTGCATATATTTTCAGAGGAATTGCAGTTTTCCTATTCCTCCATTCACAATTTCATTTTTCTTTTTACAAATAAACCTACTGATATTTTTTTTCCATTTCTCATCCATTTAATTATATTGCACATTATCCGTACATTTGACTCGTGGAATGAACATTTGCTGTCCATGCCACAAGGTTAAATAACTTCTTTTCCTTTTTAATATGACACAGGATCTCCTCCAGGTATAAATTGTCTCTCTTTACCTCTGTGACTGATTGGAAGAGTGCAGTACAAACTGAAGAAACCAATGAGATGAAAATTCATTTTAGAACAATGACGCTGTTTCCGCAATTCGGGAAATTCCCCTCATGCCTTCCGGTGATGTAGAAATTCATGCTGTCCTCCATGTCCGCCAGCTATGTTGTCCACCCCTCCGATATTCGGGGGCGCTTGTGGGCATTCGTGGGTGCATCGTAGTCTGGCAAATGCGATGACATGCCCGCACTGCCGCCCGCGCTGTGGCGAAGATCTGACACTGGCGAGGGTGCATTCGTCGGTGTCACCGTTCCTGCAAGCACAAACAGGGATGCTTTAAAGTTAATTTAATCCTCAATTGAACCCCCACAAAGTCCCAAAGAATACCACACGTTCTTCCGGATAATTCTGAAAACTTCAATTAAACACCCCCAGAAAGATTTACTAAATCAAGAAAAGATAATCTCAACCCAAAAAAAATTCATCTAACATCTAATCCATGCCAACAAAGTTAAATTGCATTTGTTCCAATTTTTCACTCATTTCCTTTCAACCCTGACATGTCAATTGATTCACTAATTAAAGGAATTAATGTCAAACATTGACAATATAGTTGTAGTGTAAATTTTTTATACAACACATTAAGTATTGTTGGGTTTATGTAGACTGAAACTTTATAGATTGACTCAAATATCTCATCTAATCACATTCTCATTTATTCATACAAGCTCACCCCCTCCCCTTAAAAAGCTTTCCTTCTCACTTATGTCAATTTCACTTACAGATTGTAATTAATACAAATAATTTATAGTATGATAGCAAGGTTGGAGTGAATTTAATCTGTTTTCTTTTGGCAAATAGAAACCCTATAATAATAAAGTTTAGCTTTAATTCGCTCCAAGATCAGTCGCATGAATGTTTAACCAACCTGGCGTTGGTGTGAGATGTCCCGTGGAGTTGGGCCGCGACGTCAGAATGAGATGCTGCTGCTGGTGCCCCAGCGCTGCCATGTTGGACGTCACTGACGTCACGGCAGCCGCTGAAGCGCCGCTCATGGTCGTGACTGAGATGGTGTTCTGCCCGAGGCCACTTCCGCCATGCGGATGGTGCTCCCGTGGCGGCGAGACCGGCTCAGACTTCACCTTAATTGACAGGGGTGATGTTGATGGCGGCGGGGTACTGTTGGATATGGCTAAATGAGGGAGTCCACTGCAAGACAGCACACTTCTATTCAGACACCCAATAGAAACATTTTCAAGTCATACAGATTACAAAAACCAGCCTATTAGGGGGTGGAAAAGGTAGAAGTCAATCTCACCTCGTGTGCTGCACCGTTCCCAGATTCTGGTGGGCGGTATTCCACGTGGAGAGCGACATGCCCACGTCAGAGGAGGTCATCGAGAAGTCTTGGGCGCCGAAGGAGCTCAACGTGGGATAGCCCGAGAGGCCGGGTATGGGTGTCTGGAGCGCCACAACGGGTGTGTTGAGCGTCGAGGACGGCTGGCGGTTGTGCTGCGATAGAAGAACAAGATATGGCGCATTCTACAAATTATTCACAAGAACAACCAATTCACTACGCATGGATGTTAAGATTGACTCACTTCGGCGTAACTCACGTCGTCCGGCGCCGTCATGTGATTGGGCGTGAGCGGTGAGGGGATCACAACGCGCAAATTGGAGTTGGATCTATTTGGTCCTGGTGAATGTTGCTTGTGAGACAGATGGTGTGACGCTGCAAAGACATAACCATCTCCTTACATTACATTCAGTGTAAAATCACAGAACTCCTTCCCATCCAATCATGTTAGTATGCAACTCTGTCTAGACACTTCTTGTTATCGTGTAATAGAAAGTTACACTATATATTGCAAAAAAGAATAAACACACTTTCAATATTGCTCTGATAAATCACCAATTTGTCGCACGTCTATTGTTTTGACGCTACACATTCTTCTTTATCTCTACTTGTCGCGATAAGGCAACACACGATGAAAATATTTGAGCAAAACGCTTTTTATAGACACATCAGTGGAATTGATATGCTATTTCCGTGCAAAAATGTTAAAAAGTTAATTTGTTAGTCAAAGCTTACGTTTATTAATGTGATGCCCACCTAATCCTGGACTAGGACCCGGACTCGGAGAGCCGCCCAGTGGTGATGTGGAGTGTGGGTATCCATTGGACATCTCCAACATCGATCCGGAGGGATAAACTGCAATGCGACCGAGGTCAGATCATCGCACTCACAGCCTGAGAATGAGCAACTCACCAGAATCCGTCTCTGAGCTCGATGGTCTCGGGCTAATGTTGGTGTGGGCCATCTGAGGACTCGCCTGGAGCATTCCCGCCTCGCCACTGTACGCCCCAGCGGCCACTGGCACAGACACGGGCAGGGCATAGTTGCTGCCGGACATGTTGACACGCGCGCCGGCGGCAATTTGCTGATTTCTTTGGACCATCAACTGAAAATCCTCGTCGATCTTGTTGTATTTGGCTTCTGTGCGTGGTGTCAGGCTGTACTCAGCTTCCGGCTCCTCCGCTTCCGGTGACATCACTCCGTTCTTATTCTCCTTCTTGGTAAGCGCCTGCAAGTGTCAGTGGACGGAGCTCACAACGTACTGGGAAATCGATTTAGGGGGAACTTGTCCGCTCGCTTTCATCTTTTTTAATGAGCATTTTCACAACTAGTATGCGTTTATTTTTATACCAGGAAAAAAAAAAACTAATTCCTTTCCATTGTCAATTTAATGCTACTTTTTGACATTTCCCATTAAAAGCTTTTCCCCCCATCAAAGGGAAGTTTCATTGGTGTAAAAACTGCCATTATCAGGTTTAATAATATTTTCCCCGCAATTACATTATAATGTTATTCATATAATTAATATAAGAGGATAATTGAAAAATCATGTTTCAATTAATTAACTCTTTTCCCGTGCAAATAATGTTGGTGTCATATTGCACACGGTACAAAACGTACAAAAGATCAAAAGGACGCATAACTACTCATAGCAAAAGATGAAATTGAGTCGAATTTCAAGAAAACTAGAAAATCTCAGTGAATTTTCAGTAATAGTGAAAATTCACAGAGATTTTCCACCACACAAAATAGGTGGGTTCTTAATTGAGTGAGTGGGTTGAAAAATAAGAAAATAAACTTGAAAGCAACAATGTGAGGTTTAACAATCAGGCAATTTTTGCAAGCACGACAACAACAACAGTCTCATCTTCATCGACATCATCAGTCATTCTATTTTACTCTCTCATTGATCATCAACATTTGAGAGTCAACACGTGGAAAAGTGACAGTTAACATTGGAAGAAATAAAAGTAAAATATATCAACATTAGGGAATTAGTGTTCAAAATATAAATAAAGTAAAAGAAAAGTCGTAAACAATCACTGGATTATTGACTGTTAGTGTTAGCATGTAGCCTCTGCCAATTTGACACGGAGAGATTTTCATCTGTACCATCAATTTTCAAGATTTCAAAGATATCAAGATTGTAAGATTCCATTGAGCCAATTGGACACACTTAACTACTACATCTCTCAGAGGCAAACGGCTCAAGAATCGCCTTAAGAATTGCATCACCAGCACATTGTCGCTCAACATAATGTACCTCGATAATGTTTTTATTGGTCAGAGACTCGTGTGGCTCATTGTACTCGGTGTACTTGAGGAGGACCTTGTCCATATCCGTACTGGCATATTGGTACAATTTATTGCTGCTGGAGAAGATGATGAGAGCAATTTCGCAGTCGCACAGCACCGACAATTCATATGCTTTCTTCATCACGCCAAATTTGCGCTTGTTGAATGTCACCTGGAATGACAAGAAGAGAGGGGGCAAAATAGCACATCATTTGCATAAATAGGGCGACAAAATGCCTCTTCGGCGACTCACTTGTCTGTTTCGTTCATCGGTGATTCGGGAAATTTGAATTTTCTTCCTACCCATGGCCGCAATTTTGACGAATAAATGGTCACAAATGTCTTCGAGTTTCCTCCACTAAACAACGTCAGAAAGATAAATTTTCAACGCTGGACGGCAAAATCACCCTTTCGCCTCACCAAATGCAGCTCACTTTAGCAATTTCCTGAAACAAGAAAAGTCCATCTTTAGTCACAAAGTGAGACATTCCCACTCGACGTCACGCAAAAGCCTCCCCAATGACCAAAAAATAACTCTACGTGCCCGAAAAAATAGCTTAGAATGTGTGTAAATTATAAATAACTCACACAGGCACCCCAAAATAGTCGTCACTTTATTTATTATTAATGCAATTCATTCGACGACCTTCAGGGTATCAACGTGGGCCGCCACTCTCTCGCTCTGGCCCACACACCGACCACGAAACTACCCCACGTGTGACTTATGCACACCTTTTCCACACTCCCGGAAGAGGCGGAAAACGGACTGAGAAGACTTGAGGCATGACACCCACAAAAGAACTCAATTTTCTCAAAAGAAAACAGTGAATAGGGAAAAAATTAAATTCCAAAAAATGTTTTGGGGATCTTTGCTCTCTCTCTCTCTAAAGGATGAGCCTTTCATTACAATTCTTCATTATCCCTCACGCAAGTCGCATCATGTCTATTGCTCTCCTCAGCCAAATTCCTTCTCATTATGTTGAGCATCGTGTGAGGTCAAGCGACAGAAGCGTTTCGCTCATTTATGTAAATTTCCCCCTCAGCCAGAGTAATGTTTTCCCAGCACACACTCACAGGAAAGCACCCCCATGAGGAGAAGGGCACAAAAAAATAAGATACGAGAGACCACTTTGTAACTCATATGGTAATTTAACGAGGATTTTCAATTCAAAGTCCTGCCCGTCCTCACAACATTTTCTCTTCATCCCCTACAACTAGAGCCGCTATTAAGCGTCTTCACCTGCCTCTTGGCATTGCCACTGACTTGACCTTGCTCCCTCTCTCCACCACTACTCATTTATTATTTCATCCAAAACCGCCCCCCAATTCGTCATCCGAGCACGCGTGTGAAATAATTTTATGGTAAATATTTAAACAAGAATGTACATTAAACGAAATAATTGAAACTTGCCTCTCCGCTGGCGATTCTCATCCCGAAAATAGAACCCACTCAATTTAGATTGAATGAGCGGGGAATCCTCCGTGTCAGAAATATCCCCAAATGAATTATTTTTGATTCGGCATGAGATATTTACAGATTTTTCGTTTCTCCTCCTGTCTGCGCCCACCCAATCAATAGTGTAGACGCATCGAAATTAGTCCCATTGACAAAGGGGAGTGGGACTAAAAATAGTGAATTTAAGTACATGCTTTTAAATACCCCACCACACCAGTTAATATGACACAGAGGATAATTTATGAATTAGTGCTGCCGTCAGCATGTGAATTATATCGTGAGATTATTATAATAATCGTAAAAAAGCTTGTGGACATAAAATATTCATACAAACCCGTTATTTAAGAAAGCACGTGAGATTTTTCAAATAAAACATTTGTTTTTTTTTCTTTTCTTTACAGAATAAGACTTTTTTTTAAATTGCCCACTACTTATCACGCAGAATTTGGTTTTTGTAATCAACTTTTCAAAGGGAATTTCAAAGGGAACTTAGAGCTGAGCAAGAATATCCGCTATAACTTCAGACTAGCACAAAATTCCAAATAACATATTTTGCACTATAAACTGATTTCAAAACGATTCGTTCGATGAAACTCCAAGCTTGAAATTGCCTTGCTTTCCCCCACTGAAATCCATCTTTCAGGCATGATAATCTTCTGCAGTAAATACACTCTTAAGTAGTGTCTTACCAACAATTAAACTGCCCAATTTCATCTTCGTGCTTGCAAATCATTTTCTCAACTCCTCTCACAGTCTCATCAAATAATTTGCATAAGTTTCCTCAGCCCGCCAACATTGCAAGGCGACCGGATAAAAACTTTGCTGAAGTTCAAACTCAGGAGAAATATGGTGAAATGGTAATTCAACTCCTTGACATTACACCGCTTGCGTGAGTGTCTCTGTTGAGGGACAAATGAGGGTTGAAGGTGAAAAAAAGAGCTGAAGAGAATCTCCTGAAGAATACATATTCTTCATCCTCAATTACCCACAGTCCACTGAGTGATTTTCATTGGGATCCCTCTTCTGTCAACCTATACCCAAAAAAAAATGTTTGGATCCAACATTCATGGTGTTTTCCATGCCGTCCTCCCCCTCAATCCTCACATCAATTTTGCCATTTTCTACCACGTTGGTTTCCAAGGGTTTTCCCCAGTCTCTCACTCTCTCTCTTCACTGTTCACTGGTGTTTCTGTCACTGGCCTTGAGTGGTGGAAAACCTCGGATCGATTCTCAAACATTCAAAAAACGGGTCACCAGGCGACTACACTGTTAAAAGCATATTCATCCCAACCCCTCCTAAGCGCGACTCAGTTGCAAACTCAGAGGAAAAATTCATTACCCACGCACAGAGTCATTCTATACTGCAATTTTCCAACACAAAAAATAGCGTTTATATGTTTCCCAACAGAAGCGACAAAGCGTTGAACATGAGGAAGAAAGGAGTGAAACGTGGAGGAAAATAAATCCAACTAATTAATTTCCTTCACCTGCAAGCTTCTCTTCTCACCCAACTCAGAGGGTGGAGGTATAAGAACAAAAAACGTGGAAACTCTACGCAATTAACCTTGACAATAAAATTGTTCCGAACGAGAAAGAGAGAAGCGATAAAAGGGGAGGCACAGCCACCCCAACTCAACGAAGGGGTTGCCAGGCATTCTTGGAGCACCCTCGAGCATAAAATATTGAAAATAGCAAATGGTCACCATTTTACATTCTCATTTGCACGAAATACCATAATGCAAAAAATTTGCATAATACGCCATAAAATGCATTTCAGCACGCTAAAAATACAACCCCAATCCGAAAGCACGTCAGCAACATGTGCCCTTCTTGGTCAGTAGGAAAATTTTGCAATATCACTGATTATCTGCTTTTTCCGTCAACAAATTTTTACTCACAACTTTATTCACTTTCGCGTGTTTATCAAAGTTGCTCTTTTGTCTTATCTCTCAGTTTTTTCGCCTTCTTCCCATGTGTCTACATTTGTATTTTCTCCCCACAAACTTCTTACTGTATTGTCTTGTGCTCCCCTGTGTCCTCCTTCAGAGCTCTAGTGTGTGCACAAGAGCGCTAAATGAGATAATCACAAGTTTTCGCATTTATTATTTACACTCATGTGAAAAATTATTGCTTCTACAGATTGATCAGTCGTGTGAAAGATGTTGGGAAAAGCCCCAACAGGAGCTAAATTGTGATGAATTCTGCACCATGGAGTTATTGGGTACAGAAGCAAGAAGAGACAACTGTTATTTGGTTGAATGAACACAAAATCTCATTCCATATCAACTGATAGGCATTCCAACGAAAAATCTTTTTATCGAAGAAATAATAATGATTCAATTCTCAGGTGTTCTTTTGCTCTATTCTTCCATGTTATTTTCATTAAGGGAGAAAATGATGAGACTTGTGACACAATTAGTGAGATAAATCACATATAATTTTCCTATCTTCTATCCACCCACACACACATTCCAAACATGACTGCGAGATGAGATGGTATTTTGCACCTTATTCGAGAAACAACAAATACAAGGGAATTAATATCTTATCATCTTTTTGCACGAAACACTTTTTTATACACTCTCTTGTTATGTATAGTTTATTGAACTTTGTCAGGCAAGGAAATTGGCACAACCAATTTCTAGGATAAAAGATCTCAATTACATTCAAGTGGTGCATATATCAGATTCAAGATTTAAGGCAGGCAAAGAAGGAGCTTCGCGCTTTCCAAGGTTCCACCAATAAGACCTATATTTTTCCACTGGGTTTTCTCGTTCACTCATTTATTCTTTGCCTTTTCAAGTATTTTCAATCAATCGCAATCTTAGGCTGAAATTTATATTTAGTCTTTCCTGGAATTTTCCTATTAAACTCCAAGCCTAACACAATTTCTTCATCATATTTATACATACAATTACCAATAACAAATTCTGGACAATTTCCATGAAGTCGGAAAGGATATCTAACACCTTTCCCATCGATTTTTCCCCCTGGCTCGCCACCTACATCCCACTGTGCAATGCGAGTTTGCGACCAAAATGAAGAAGGAGTGAAAAAATGTGATGTAGTGACCTCTACAAGGGGCTCCTCTCGCATGTCTCGTCAATAATTCAAAAAGGTCATTACCTTAACTAGCATCACAACACTTTCGAGTCTTTTCCACGCGTGAACATCATCGAAATCGATATAGAAAAGGAAAATAAATGTAAAGGAGATCATCGATATGAGACTCGAGCTCATTCTGAGACACTCTACTGAAGCGCTTCTTCTCACATGATTTATTTCATAATTCACTGTTTTTCCATTCCACCCATCTTTTTTTTCTATCTCTCTTCATATGAGCTCTACAACAGAGTCATGTTATTCTTTCTCGATACGGTGCAAATAAACCTCTTTGCAAATACCGCACAAGAGTTTGCAATCTCTGAGGTAAATGATAACATAAAGTTTGTATGATAAGACTTTTAACCTTGTGGATTCCTTACGTATTTCTTTCTCATCGTTTTACCTAATTTTCGTCACTTCAAGTCAAAACCACATAGTCTCCCGCACACCTCTTTATAAACATAGTGTGTTTACCTTAGTAAATCCTTTCTGAATGTGTGGAAAATTCTGCCCTTATTGTGTTGTAAAGATTGCAGGCCTCATCCTATTTCCGTCCACAGTATAGTTTTATTTTAACTACCTTCAGTATATATTTAGTCACTTAAGCCACAAAATTCACTTTCATTGAGAATCCTCCTGATTTTCTTCCTTCGCACATACACAACTTTCCCTTCTGCCTTTTCACCGTAGCTACTTTCCAAGTACACACACTTTCCCTCTCTCTCTCTTTCTCTCTCTCTCTCGGCTAATAATACCAATAAAACGTGCTAGGATAAAATTGTCTTGTACCGCATTGGTAATTTCCTATTTGTGATCTATAATATGTATTTTTGTTCGGTATGTATGAGGATATAAAAATAAATTATAACTCAATCACAATTCAATTTGCTATTCCACCCATGAAACTTCATTAACAATTTGCATTTTCATATCTCGATATCACTGGTTGCCTTCTCCTATCGATTTAAAAAAAAATGTCTCTATATTGACCGATAACGTTCTTATCGCGAAAATTGATTTTCTCAACTTCTTGCACTTTTCATCAAACTTTATTCGTTATCATTCAACACTTTTCACTTTGCCTGGTGAGCATGTGTCGCTTTGCAGTGACTCATTATTATGAAGATTTACATAAGGAAAGTGATCCACCACGCATTTACTAGTCACGTTTCTCCTCAGGAAAATTCCCCACTCGTGCACATTTTCCGGGGATTCCTTTCAATTTTCCACACGCAGTTTCCTCCAACGTTATATAATCTCACAATTCTCTCCGCCTACACAGCACAGCATCAATCATTTAGCACCTTGTCGAGAAAACCCAGAGAAAAGTGGATGCCACCAATCAATTATGTTGCACTTTCCACACCAACAAGCGCGCTTCTATTCCTATTTTTATTTCCCGAAAACTTCACACTTTCCCTATTAATGTTTGTGCTTCTAAAGCTCCTTTCTTTCTACAACCCAAAAAAGGTGATATACTTTCTTCGTAAACGCACTGATACGCTCAGACTAAGGGAGCACACCACGACACCGCAACGACTCAGAATCAACTGGAAACGTAGGAAAAAGGGAAATATGAGACCAAGTGTGATGGCAGGGCTACCAGAATATCACCAATGTACTCTTTCACACCACCAAGCAACATCCACTTTTCCATCTTCTTCGCACTCACGCAAATTGAACGGGAAAGGCACTCCATATCTGTGTTTCAGTTTTGCCTGATAAAAGCCACCCATACACGAGAGTCTGTGGTGGAAAATCGCTGCCTCGGTTGGCCATCTAAATGGGAAAAATACACGAGTGAAAGTGAGACAAATACATTATGCTTTCCATCAAAGGCACTTTCCACCTTTCCTCCCTAAAATGTGTTGCTCTGGCGCATTTGCCTGGTCATCCAGAAAGTTATTGCCCACTATTCAAAATTTTTAAGTTATAATGACCATATTCTAAAGTGGATTAGTTGGATAAATATTTGTAGTTCTGCCTCCTTAAATGCCCCGCCTTTTCAAATATGAGAATCATGAAACCAGTAAAGTTTCACAGTATTTCAAATGAACTGTGCTTTCTTGTCCGACCCGGTATTATTGTTTTAAGTGCATATGCTGTATAAATGGAGTTTAGTCTCTTCATACCTCATGTCTTCATCTTTATCTTACGCCTGAATTCAAATGGCATCGCTTTTTTTCTTTACTGTCTTACACAGAAGATCGTTGAGACGCTGTCTCGAGACAGAGACAATAATATATGAAATGTTTTCATTGACGAAAAGTCCTCAACAACAGGGAAGAAAAAACATGCCCCTGTGTTGGGTGGAGTAAGGGACACACGGTATCAACTGTCCCTGAATATTCTTCTCAATGGAACTGAGATGTCCTGATGTTGTACAACAAATGGAATGCTGAATTTTTCACCATTAAATTAAATTACAGTGACGTCGTCAAAATATGATTTTCCCCCCACTTGAGAGCTTCTTCTGAAAGCTCCTCACCTTTGTACGAATTCAGGGGCTCTTATTTCACTGATTTTCCTAATTAAATAACTATACTGGACTCCAAGCGATTGACGTCATTCCGTGGGTGGCGTTAAACACCCTCCTTCACCGGAATCATTTTCATCTCAAATACACCGCGCTACGCAAAATATCCTGTGCCTCTTGAGATTTACCAACGAGACAGGAAAGGGATAAAAACTTGGACTTTGCAGAGGGTTCAAAGAAGGAAAAATCCACCAAATGAAAAGCGACAAAAAGGTTTCTCACCATTGTTGAACATTGCGAAAATCTCCTCTTCGGTGAGAAGAAAAACACACTGTCATTCTTCATCAAAGTCAAACTTCCTCCGCACAAAGTCTTCATCCTTTCCCAAGCGTGCCACCCCTTTCTCTCCACTGTGCATGCCATCCCAAATAAAAAAAATCGAATATTGATTACACATTCACCTAGATTTCATCCATATTTTACTCCTTTTTCAACAACATGCACGTACACAAAACAACGCACACCCCATGCAAAACTATCAGAAAGGATAAAGGATACTTCTTGAATGTCCTCTGTATTCATACTGATTATACCCTGCATTATTAATATATGCACAGTGGTGTCACTTCTCATTATTCCTAAAAAGTTACCTTGAGTTAAAGAGAGCATTTTTGAAAAGTGCCAAATGTGAAGTGTGTCAGAGTGTCGTCATAAAGCATAGTTGTCGCATTAGTTGAGATACTCATGTTCTACATAAAATGATCAATACTGTTTGACTCAATAGCAACACTAAAACATTATTTTGGCACATTTCAACTGGATGAATGTCTATTTATGACATTCAGATGAGACGACCGTGTGTGGTACTCATGCCACTGAGACACATTTTACATTTTATTTCCAATTGCAAATCAGCATGTAGTTGAGAGTGGATAAGACACTCACCCCCAAATAAAAGGGTTAACAGAGATATTTCCATCGTTTTTAACACCTGAAGCGAAGACCTTTTTGGGGTGAATTTGTGAAATATCGATTTTGTATGACAAAACGAGAGAATACAAATTTTGAGGGTAGTTTAACGTAAAAATCTACATGCTATAAATGTCTGTTTCGCATTTATACCCAGTAATTGTGGCTTTTACAGTTTTACTTTAATTAAATGACAGATAATCTCATCAAAGGCGATTAAAATCACTGATCCCTTCAACATGTAGTGGTTGTTTAAGAAATTCTCCACACACTCAAAGAGAATTGCGACTTAGAAATGATTTAAGTCGAATGAATGTATTATTTCAGGTGTGAAGCACAAATTTAAGTTTTTGAGTGACTGACAGGAAAATGGAAATAAGTAAAAATACTTCAAAACAAAGAAGTAACGAATAAAAATCTTATTAGGCTGTTCTGGAAACTAATTTAAAATTTGCTGTCAATATTTCTCTCTTTCCCTCTGTATACATAAATAAAGCAGGAATATTTGTACACAGGTAAACCATGTAATTAATAAAACCCATCACACCACATCGGGATTGTCAACCAATAAAGAAATTAAAGAGATGCATTTAAATGAAAAAAATTGCATTTCTCCCCCCAACTGGGAGTTTATACTACACATTTCAATTAATCTGAATGTAGGGCCTTCTGTTTTCCTTAGGCGGACTCCCTCTCTATTTTCCCACTCACTTTCACCACATCCTCTATTGGATTTCCTCTTGTAATTGATGCAATACCACCGGCACATGTGAAGCAATCTCATATTGAGTTAAGAGACTTCTCGATGCCCTGAATGGAGGGATTATTGAGTGAGCACACACTCCTGAGTTGGAGAGAATTTTACATTGGCTCAGCTTATGGGATGCTCTTAGGCATTTTAGTGGCATATACACTCTTTTTCTTCCTTCACTTCCACCACCCCGATGCAATGCTGTATGAAAGTACATTTGTTGAGGCATTGGAGGGGGAGTTTATCTGTCAAATAGCACCGCGTAAAATACCCATCTAATAAAAACAGACACCGGAAACTCATCTTCTTGACTTCTTTCTCCCCTCTCTCCTCCCATTCCTCAGAAACTCTCTCGGTAATATTCCTCCTGGATGCGCTCGCCTTTCATGGATTTTAATTGAAGAGGAAAGAAAACACTGCAAATACGACTTCTTAGCTTCTGCTTCCCTTCTTTCTCGACATGGGATAATTAATTTACCATAAAGTATTATATGTATGAATATGTATTATCTAAAGGGTTCTCTTGTGGGTGTTCTGCACAGATTTTTACCTCCAGGTCACCATGGAAAAAGATCTCCTCCAAGAAATTGTCCCCTGCATCAATTTCTTGTCGACTGCAATCCCTCCTGCCCTCAATGGAGAGTTAAATTGTTCCAGGGAGGGCAGACAAAAAGCATCCTGACACAGATGTTCACACAGTGACACACGTTTCGACGTCAATGTCCCTTCATATGGCGCTGGATGCTGCACTCCAGACACCCTCTCGGTAAGCAAGAGATCACAGCGAATGACACTCTGAGAAGTGTACAGTCTTGTGTGGAAAATATTTAATTCATTCTGAGACGGGAGTGAAAAGGTACATATACTCCCTCTAAAATTTAAATGACGAAGAAGCGAGTGAAAAACACAATTCTGGCAAGACACATACCATAAATTCACAATTCTTACCACTCTCTCTCACTCTCTTGTCGAAAATTCTTCACGTAGAAACTCTTGGCATTATTATTTTTGAATGTGTAGAGAGAGAGAAAGAGAGTCCTTCAAGCCATTTCCACCCACTTCGTGTGTGCGCCATTCAAGAGATTTTCATCCCATGACGTCTCATGAAAAAATGACCATTGAATTTTAATTAGTATTCTCTATTCTGCCAACATATAAATTTCTCCTCTAATCAAAATATTCGAGACAAGACAGCGAAAAAAAAATGTTTACACAAATCAATCTGCCGTTTTGAGTGTAGATAAATATTTTTCATCTTGTCTCATCATTGGCACACTCCAGAGGCCCCTCGAGGAAATACTCCGACGCAACCCTACTGAAAGACTCATTGACATTTTTCCATCTGGACGAGGGTGAAGATTTCACGAAGATGCCCTTGCATCATCATTCTGCCCTCTGTCAAAGTCTTATTATTAACGTTTCTTTGTCTATGAAATTCGATCCAACGAGGTGAAGATTGACTTTCATATTTCCACCCTAGCCATTTAAACTAAATACATTCCGTCTCATTGACGGATATTCAAATGGAAAATTTCAGACGAAACATGCAACAACGACATACCTTAGACTTTACTGTCCGCCTTCTGTAAGATTCACAGTCATTTTAAAAGAGTCTTGGAGCATTTACAGTCTTGACTTTTTACCGTAACTATGCTAAAATTCACTTATCCGAATAATTCACTTATGCGAAAAAAACAGTCACTCCATTGTCTCAAGGTGTGGAATGCAGGTGCATTTCCTGCCAATCATCTATTCGTGTGGTTTGTAGGAAAAGTCAAAAAAACCACCACGCTTATGAACCCAAAAATATAACCAAAACAATGTAAAAATACCCACGAGTACTCACAACGACTTTATAATTATCCCCCACCGTTTTAAAAGCATTAGGACCAAAAATAATTTTCGATTTTATAAATACGAGATATATATACACAATTTGTGAAAATTTCTTCGTTCCTTCCGCTTTGTCTCGGCGCAAAAGAGAGGAAAACGATGCCGCCACGGCGCGATATACAACAAACTGCAAAGCTCGCGATGTACTGTTTAAAATTCGAAAAAGAAGGGAGAACTCACTCCTCCTTTCCTCATTTTTCCACCGTCCACACACACGTTCACAATTGCATATAGCTGAAGACAGTTTCACAAACACACACGCATATACTGAGAGCTTGGAGAAAATTCTGCTTCCCAATAGACATCGGATCGTAAAATTGTATCTTACAGATCCCCTTGCACTTTTACATTCCAGCCAGGAAGTGCAATTTGTATATCTTCTGCACTAAATGCACCCCCCTTCAGCACTCTGTGAAAAACTCTGTACATCCAACACTTATGGGCGACGTGAAAAGACGCAAGAACTTCGGGAGATGAGACCTATACGTTTGCTCTGTTTCTCTACACCACGTAGAGGACACAGTTAGACTGACTTCTCCTTACCAAGTTGTGCTAAATTAAGAACAGGGCACTACCGTCTCTCATGCTTTACATTATATACCCATACCGAACATATACAGTTGCGCTTACATTATTTACATCACTCATCCCCACAGTAAATAATGATTCTCTTGCGTACAGACCGTGTATTGTGGGGTCTCTTTTTGCCTCTCCTTTCTCTCCAATGATTTCCACCTCAAAAACGCCCTCCCGTCAATATCACCTTCCGCCTCATCATCGGAAAATTCCCACCTCCGCAGGATATCATCTAAAGCGGCCTCTTCCCGCCGAAAGCGATCAAGACATCCACCCCCGCAGTCGCTACCATCCCAATCACCGACCTTGATTCCTCTCTCGCTCACAGAACCATGAACATAATCTCGATCGCCACTTTCCGCCATTTTGAATTTCCCTCGCCACACACACATGTACAACTTTTTCTTCAATTTTCCTGGCACAGCGCCAAGAAAACCTCCGCCATTTTCACGCAAACATCACGTAGCGGCGCTACAAAATCCCCGACTTTTTCAATATATGCACATCAGATCCGAGAACACTCACCAGACTCTACGCAATATTTCAGAAAAGCCACCAAAACACCAAATCGAAAAAATCAAACCCACAATCCCAACTTCAATTGTATATACATAGAGAAAATGCGCGAAAGGGAGAGAAAATCTCGGCATTTAGAATTTTTCCTGAAGCATACGCACTGAAGATCATTAGCACGCTTCACTTTTCTTCCACATGAACAGCCAAACACATATTCGGTGGTATAAAGATGATGGATATAGAGATTCAAACGACGCCACCGATCATGATCACGATGATTTTCTCCATCGTTTACACAGTTGTTTGGCATAACAGAAAACACAACACCTTCTTTCAGGTGAGTGATTTTCAAACCATTCCAGACGCAGAAAAGATATGATATTGGCATAAATTTAAAAAAAAATTAGGCCAGGAGACGAAAATTCTAACAACTTTTACTCTATCTAAATCGTCTCACAATCTGCATTATTGTGAATTCAAAATAGGTTTTGCCTAAAGTCAGTTTTGGATAGAAACACCTCAATTTTGTATGTAAATGATTAATTTAAAACTTAAGATTTCTCAGTTACTCCCAGTTGAACTGGAATTTGTCGTTGAAAATCTATTTCGATACTAAGTACATATTTCGTAACAAATTTTGCCGTAGGGCCAAAAATTGTTTCAATTCCCAATTCAATAGATAATAATAATTTGATGTTGAAATTGCAAATTCCCCAGCATATTTTAGTGTAATTGAAGCGAACCTTACCTCAATTGAGAACAATTATTTGTTCTGCAGAGAAATGGATATGTGAGATAAACATAATCTCAATATTTCCTCCTCCAAATCCACCTAATACATTGATATGTATCGCAACAATTACACAATTCCACACCTTCATTTTCATCTCCCACGTCTTTTCAACACGAAATTGTGTTGGGGTCTTTTTTAAAAGCCCCTGAAAGACGCCCCGAAAACGAAGGGGATTTTCCTATGTGGCACGGCCATATGAGTGAAATTTTCCGCAGAAGCATTGTGGGGAGATTAGTCAATTTTCTCCATGTTTCTATGGTGTTCCCGGGGAAATGTGAATGTGCCGAGGGATAGGCTGAGAAGCGCAGTTGTTTAATTTCACGCAGTCTCTCCGGGATCAAATTCAATCTCTTAGCATGGCAGAGACTTTTGTGTGAGCCGCGAGAGGAACATGGGGACGGCTGAATCGCGCCTTGTGTGTGAGGAAAATATTCTAAGAATAGACAGAACACGTGCTGTTCGCCTTCCCCAAGATGCCTCTGAGACACACACTCACCCAGGATGATGAGGCCAGGAGGCATTTGTACACTCTTATTCCACATTATTCAAAAATGCATTAATCACCAACTTGGTGAGAGTCATGACAAAATCATCAACGAAACGGGCGTGAAAGAGGAAAAGCAGATTCCTTATGCATCAATTCGACTTGCCATTCCCATCCAAAATCCTATGCAGACAAGAAAGCAGAAAAACTATATATCTCTCCTAAATATGGCACTTACTTTGTCAAGCACGTGTCTCAGCTCATGTTCTCTAAACGTACAAAATATACACAGAGTTTAAAATCATCGCGGCAAAATCAATTGGCATTTGGCACGTGATTGCAAAAACCTTTACCATACAGTCAGCATCCCTTTTCTTGACATATGTTCTTGCAGCACCTTTTGCCAGTCCACATCACAACATCTCATTAGAGTCAATGAGATGGACAGATGTGGCGCGTTTTCACTTCAATTTTACAACCCAGAGAGGATGTGCAAATTAACAATAAAGTGGCGGTCCAAAGACATCGTAATGCCATGTCTCTATAGCAGAGGAATTTTCACTGAAGAAAAACTGAATGACATATTTGTGTCAGGTGCGTTTCTAATGACAAATCCTCCACTCTTCACGCCTGTGACTCTCGAAACTCGTAGATCGCCCATTTTTCCTACTATAAAAGCATAGAGTGGATGCTGAGAGCCACCGAACACACCGTGACAAACATCCGTAGCTAATCATATAACATCCCTCAGACTAATACGAATGCGAATTGTAATGTTTTTGCAGCACTGCGCAAAGACTGCTATTACTCAAATTAAGAAAACGCCATCAACTGGTGAAAAATTCGGGGCATTGAGAATAAATAAATTCCCAAATACGCACACTCAACACGGTGTGAGCGACATAAAGAACGATAAAAGATGTTTTCACAAAAATCCTCTCGTGGGCTTGTCGTGCTCTATGGGGGCATTTTTTCGCCTGTTGAAATAATCATTAAATGAGCCAAGAGAAGAAGAAAACTTACAGTCTCCAACGATAGCTTGGCTCCTAGCCAGAAACCTGTAAGAAACAAATGTAAAAGATTGATTAATTATTTACCAACACACATAGGCAGCAACATCTATGTGCATTGGAGTTGAAGAAGGAAAATATAACGTGGCGGCAGAGGAAAAGGCAATTTTATTAACCCAACTATATGGGTGGAAAACACAATATTGTGAATTGGGGGAGAAAATTGATTTTAACACACCAGAGATTTGTGAGTGCGGCGAATGGGGAAAAAATGTGAAAATGCATGAGTGAATTTCCTCTTAGCAACTTTGGGAGGAAAACTCTCTGCCTTTTGCGCGTAAACACACCAATTTTGAGGGCACACATACATAGTCAAATTAGCTCCGGGTGCCATCAAAAAGTCGGTCTCCCATTTGTTGCACAATAGGAAAACTTCTGACCAACGGAGGGAATTTGTGGTCGGGATGTTTGTGCGCGCACTCCTTTTATAGCCACAAACAGCTGGAAACACTGTTGTCATTTGAGACATTTCTCTCTCTCTCTCCCTCTTCTCTACTGTGTGTTCCTTTTTTTCGTGGAATTCCGGGTGAAAACTATCACCTCCATCGAAGGACAAAGCGATGTGAGAGAAAATCATTGACATTTTCTCACATTTTCCCGATCATTTTTCACCACTCAGACTCTCTCTTTCTTTCGCGCATATTCATGTAAAACCTCACTTCTCAACGCCTCTCAGAGTCGTGTCTTTTTCCTTTACAAATTCAACAAGGAGAAAATGCCTGACGAAGAGGAAAAAAAAACACACACACACGCCACAGACATGAGTCTCATCGTCATTTGGCAAATATCCAAAGTGAAACCACCAATTCTTCAGTCCAAAGAAACATTTTCGAGTCAAAGTACTAAATTTCACTTACACAGTTGCAGGAAGAAGAAAAATAAATTTTGCGAATTGAACCTCATTTCCCAACTAATCGATTTCAACAATCCATCCATGCAATTGAAATCGCCACAGATCACATCTCAAATATCATAGAATTGTGACTAGTGCCACCTTCATGCAATTTACTCTGCTCTGCATGCACACCATTCTCCTTTTTTGGGTTCAAGAAACTCTCCATGGGATGATCTCTGTCTCACATGATGACACACAAGCCAGAGTCGAGGAAAAAAATCCAACAAAGATCACTACAAGAAACGTTAGCTGAAGAATCCCGAAAAAATCAGTGTAGAAATGCTGAGAGGCTGTTTATTTCAAAGGAGATTGTACATCTTTCACAGCCCCGAGGCAATTTATTATACAAATTAGGCTGCAGAACTGCAATTTCAAAACATAATGTCATCAAGTCTCTACTCCGAAATACCCCTTGAAATATGAGAGCACGATGAAAACATATGGGACATAAAATTGTGTTCCAGTGGATGCTGAATCCCAATTAGCCACCTTCAATTTTTCCTATACTCCTCTCATCTCTTCCTCCAGTCAAAAACTCCATCAAGAGCAAAAAGCATTAGCATGAGAAGGAAAAAAGCCAGCATCAACATTGTATACATAAGTGAACCACATGCTTTTCCATGTGCCTCCTACTCTCTACCCCATACCTTAGCATATAATATCTAGTCTACTGATCTCTTTCGCTCCGCCTAAACTCACAAAATGGAAATTCTTGACGCAATTGTAAAGTGATTCACAAATGCCGAATGATTAATTTTCATGACAACTGCGCCGATTTATGTATAAAATCTCCCCTCAAAATGTCAAGGCGAAACCCTTTTGCCTGTGAATGATTGCACAATATTTCCTCGAAGGACCACAAAGAAAATTTCCGAATTCATCTCTGTCTCCTGAAGATCGCAATCCTTCCCTCTCGCATTTGGCACATTGCCAGCACTTGCCGCTGTGAAAATTCTTGGCAGTTTACGCAGACCCACTCCGATCGATTCACTTCGTGAATTTTCAGCAATCATCCTATGTGATTCACATTTCTCTCTCTATGTGATCTCATCTCGCGCCCAAATGGCGGTGAGGAGCAAGAGAATTGGGGGA